GTACGGCACGGCAGGATGCCCCCGTGGGGGGGGGGGGTGCGGCCACTCCTGCGTCCAGCAGTCAGCCGAAGGGGGTTGGAAAAGAGGGGGGGGGGTACCAGGGTCGGGGGCGAGGCCGGCCTGGCAGAGGGACTTGCCGGGGCATGCCTCGCACACGCCCGCTCGCCCGGCCTCGGCAGTCTCCGAGGGGCAGCCCTCGAAGGCGCGCGCCACCTCACCCGCGTCGTCGGCGTCGTCGTGGCGCGGTGCCGCCTCCATCTATCGTTGTTCGTCTTGGGTTTCCGGAGCTAGCGGCTGGGCATGCCAACCCAGCTTGGAATTCGAACACCACCACAGGTGAAGGGTGGCGTGTGCGACAAGACACAAGTGGCCAAGAGCGCTGCCGGACCCTACGGCTCTATCGGCCAAAGACCTTGGGGGGGTCATGTAGTGGCTCTATTTCTATTTACATGTATGTATGTTTCTGTATAAAAAAGTGCCCCACCACCCATCATCGGTGGTGGACTGCGGGCAGGAATGGATAGAGAGAAGCTGAATCGGCTCAGGAGGCCTTGGCCTTGCCCCTGGCGGCAGCGGCGGCACGCTTGGAGGTGGTGGCGAGGGCCGGAGACAGGGGCTCCTTCTGTGGCGGCAGCACCTGCTGGTCCTGCTGCTGGTGGTGCTTGAGGGCGGCGGTGGCCGGTGGGCTGTTCCTGGCCTTCTCCCGGATGTCGTCCATGGACTGGGTGCCGTTGCGCAGGGATAGGATACCGATTCGCACGATCTGGTAGAACCAGAAAATCTGCAGATCACACCCACCTCATGAGTCTCCACCTCCTCTCCTCCTCTCCTCCGCGGCGGCGGTGGTGGTGGCGATGGGGAGGGGCCACCACGTACATTGAGGGCGAAGAGAATGAGCAGCAGCGCGTTGTAGGGGACCCAGCCCTTGATGCCCTCCCAGCCAAAGACCTTGATGGTGCCCACCACGGTCGTGTGCAGCACCACGTACGGGAAGTACAGCAACCTGGTGGTCCACCAGCCACGCACGCCGCGTTAGCCCGCAACGTCGCGCGACACGACACGACACGACACACACACGAAGGAGGGCGCGGCGAGCGGGTACCTGAAGGCGACCCAAACGGTGGGCAGGGTGGCATAGACGGCCAGGTAGAACGCCGGATGGATCGTGGCTGCGCGGGAGATTGGTGGTGGGTGAGATGAAACCGTTTGAGGGAGGAAAGGGGGGTGGCAGGCGTACAGTCCCGATCCAGGGTCTTGAGTGTCTTGGCCGAAAACACGAAGATGTCGCAGATGTCCTGTAAATGGTCGCGGTGAGCAGTTGGCGCGAATGGAGTGATGGCTCCAGACATGGATGGAGAGAGGGGGGAGGGGAGTAGTAGGCTACCATGGAGAACATGACGAGCATTCCGATGCGGAAGTAGCCCGTGACGAATGCGGCGTAGAGGAGGGTGAGGGTGACGGCGTGGTGCACAATCATGATCCAATAGTCGGACTTGCGCGAGTCCTGGAACACGTGGGCGTAGCTGCAGTACACATACCAGCCCGTCTGGATGCCGTAGAACCAAAATATCTCCGGACTATTGTGCAGCAGCAGCAGTGTGAGTGCGGGTGGCTGGCTGGACATGGTGGAGAGAAGGGAGGGGCGGTACTCGATGGTCTGATTCGGGAAGCCCTCAAGGAAGGTGAGGATGGGAAACCAGAACCAGTCCTGCTTGACCAGGAACCTGTGGTGTGTGTGTGTGTGTGTGTGTTGTGCACGTCCATACATGAGACGGACCAATCGTCATGATGATGATGATGATAAGCAATCGTCGTGTAGTTATCTGAGGAATTTGGGACGATGCAATGGACCAGAGGGTAACGCACATGGTGTTGAAAGTCCAGGCGAAGGTGTAGAAGAGGACCTGCATCACGGACTCCTCGAGCTTTTGGGCAGACTTTTCGACCTGCATTCGCTGTGCGAGAGGCTGCAAGGAGGGTGGGTTGGCAAGTGCGAGGTGGAAGTAGCCGAAGGGAAGGGCACGCCGTACGTCAATGACCTGCTTGCGCAGCACAGAACGAAGAACGCCAGAGGCAATGGCTGAGCCGACGACGATGGCATAGAACGTTGGGTCGGGCCACCAGGAGGCCTTGTGATCGTACACGTATGTCCCTGCACGCTCGGCCCATTTAGGGAGAGTACTCGACTCGTCTACGCAGCCAGCCAGAAGAGAAAGGCGCGAGCTGAGCGGCAGCAGGCGGCAGTTTGCGTACCTCGGGGAATGTCGCGGCCGGCGAGGGTGAGGGGATAGTCAGGGAAGGGCCACATACAGGCAAAGCGACAATTAAGTGTGCTTAGGCCCGGCGGAGTGGGTGCGGAGAAGAGAAGGGTGAGCTGGTTGAGGAGGAAGTGTGAGGCCTGGAGGTAGTGGGTTTGAGTTCGACAACGACACAAGAAGAAGCTTTTTTAACCTGGGACTCATCGTGATCCGCATGGTGGTGCCCCCTCGTGTGTGCTTTTGGCCTGAGCTGCAGGCGAATTTCCGCAGGTGCCCAGCTGCTTCCCCGCCTCGCTCCTATCTCCTCTTGTCTCCCTGTCCTTCTACGAATTTCCACCTTCATTTCTCATTTTATTTAATTTTTCCTTATCAATTAATTGCCCATTTCTCTCGATTGGATCCATTCATTGACAACAATCACGTAGCGCGATTCTCGCAACCATGGAGAACAAGGCACAGCTCGTCAGCATGCTCTTCGACATCACGTTGCGACTCAAAAACCAGATGGACCATAACCGGACCACGACAACGACTCTACTCGCAAAAGCCCACACCCTCAAGGTTAAAAAAACTCTATTAATTTAGTAAATACAATTAATAGATTTTTGATTCTCACGCGGAGCATCTTCAGGACCAGATAGCAGCACACCACGGCAAGAGCGATTATCCCGAGTCAGCAGGCACGCCTTCCATTTCTTTTGAGAAGATATAACAAAGGGCTGATTCCCAACTACCAATAGACACGAGCACCCGTGCCGTATCAGAGTTGCAGCATGAAAACGAGGACCTCAAGGCGTCCGTTCGGGAATATAAGCAAACGATCGAAGTCATCATCGAGAAGCACCTCACGCAAATGGTGCGTTGGCACACCAACCAAGATCCACCGCTTTGTTCTGACCTGGTGCAGACGGAGCTTCACCAGGAGCACCTGGCCCGGGAGAAGCGACTCGAGGACCAACTGGCATCGGAAAAGCATCACGCCCAAGCGCTCCGTACGCAAAACGTTTACTTGAAGGAGAAAGTCGAGCAGATGCTGCAGGTCATGAAGGCTGCCTGCGCGTCTGACAAAGATCACGCTTACGACGAGGAGGTACACTATGCGCCAGATTCTTATCATGTAGCGATGTTTTACCGACGAAGACCCTCTCCGTCATGTGATCTGCTGGCAGGCGTACATGGCTGCTCTCGAGAGCGAGAACAAAACTCTCCGCATAGCCTTGGGCCTAGACACCATGTAGTCACTGTAGGGCATCACGACCGCACATGTACAAATACACATACCGACCCCGATACACTTTGGTACTGCCCCTTTGCTTTTTGGCGGGAACCAACGCGCCGGCAAGGCGTTTCCTTTTCGCGTTGCTGGCGACATTTCACTTTGTTGCTCCCGCGTGAAGAAGGCCACAGCTCCATGTCCGCCCATGCCAAGTGCAACCTCTGCTGGAGGTACCCCCCCCCCGGTCCGTTTTCCTTCCTCTACTCTGCTCTATTCTAACGCTAGAATCGTGATCACGCGTACCATGGCGCAGGGAGCTAGAGGAGTGCGCCTACATAACTCGGTGTTCACATATATTCTGTACTCCTTCCTTCTTCGCGCGTTTGAGCGTTCTTGCTCGCAGTGACCAATTCTGTTGAAGGCGAGCGCGATGCGCATAAGAGTATAAATGCCGAAGGGCTGTGTCCTCTCTGCGACACTCCGCTACAAGGAAGGTACACGCTACACGATCGGCTCCCACATCAGCGGTACTTATTGAGTCTTTCCATTAGAGGAGGCGTTACGCTCGTCGAGTTTACTCCTGCTGCGTCTTTCGAAAAGGCTATCCAGCTGTGTGGACTTGCCCCCGCTTCAGGTACGTTGCTGTATCGTTGCCAAGACGAGCAATCGCAGCTAACTGCGAATACAAGTTATGAACCTCGCTACGAAGGCTTTAGAGTTTTGGGACTACCAGAAGCAAACGGAGCTCGAGTACCACAGGATGTCACTCAAGAATCAGCAGATGCGCCTCCAGAGCGTCGAGAAGCAGTGCAACGAGAAGCTGATGGAGGCTCAGAACAAAATCAACGTTCTCACGCACCAGCTCAACTCGGTAAGGGAGGAACTCGAAACTAGCAAGAAGGAGGCTGCCGAGTTGCAGGAAAAGTATGCCGAGCGAACAAGGTAATTGCGTACTCGCCGCTCTTGGTCACTGCTCAACTCAGGGCCGATGCTCACTACTTTCCGCAGACAGAAGCGAAAGCTGGCCGAGCTTTACGAATGCCTCAAGCAGCGCTATGAAGGTGGGAGACCCGTGGGCACGAGTTCGCCGCTCTTTCTTCCGAAGAATCTCGTAGCGAGCCCGCAGGGCGAGCCACCCTCGTTCGGAGCGCACAGCAACCCCAAGTTCGGAAGTATCAGCTTTCCTTCTCGCGTCCGAGAGCAGGAGCTCGCTCCACGGCACCCAGAAGTCGATCGTACGCACCTCCAAGGCATCCCTTCTCGCTACTCGTGCATAAGAGTCTCTTTCTTCTCTCTACAGGCTTTTCGCTGCTCCGCCGACAGAGTCCTACTGGACGCTCAGCTTCTCGCCTCCCGACCAATCGACCCTCATTCCGGCCGCTCTTTGCGCCCAAGAGACCGGAAACGCCTGTTCTCTCGAGGCAACTCGCCACCGACACCCTGAGTCGCAGTCCCTTGCTTATGGGATGATCACCTGGGCTCTTCCGAGCAGCAATACAGCGCCTTTGTTAGGAAGTAACGCCCTGTGCTTTACTGCGTGGCTTGTTGGAGCTTGAACGATGAAATGGCAAGGAAGAGGGGGAACTCTGTCCGTGCTCGATTCTCTCGCTTGGCTTGGCTGCCCTCGCTCGTCTTGTCCGAGTACCACTCCTCAATGAGCTCGACCGCCATCCCGGCGTCGGAGAGCCACCGGAAGTAGTGGTCCAGCGGGTAGTGGTACGAATAGGTGGTGGGGCTCGCGCCCTCGCTCTTGGCGGCGGCGGAGGAGGAGGGCTCTGTCGCGCCGCCGCCCTTCTTCACTCCGGGATGCACCATGATCGGCACCTCGAGCGGGCTGTGGTAGCGATCGACGCGGCGGTACTGGGCGTTGTTTTGCGGGTCCACCTCCCATCGCGATTGCCGAGGCACGCGGAAGCACGGGTGGTTGAGCACCACCACGAGCCGCCCCTGGTCGCCCAGCCGCTCGCCCGCAATGCGCAGGGCAGCTGCTTGATCGCGCATGTTCTGGAGCGAGAGCACGAACGCCGCGTGCGAGAAGCCACCGCCGGTGGACTTGGGCGCGACGTCGTAGGGTCGAGTGACATCAGCAACAGCGTAGCGGTGCTGCGGCGCGGTGTCGTAGGCCTGCGCCTTGCGGACGAGGAACTTCGAGGCATCGACGCCCACGTACTCCACTCCTTTGGGCACCTGCCGCCCCAGCACTCCCTGACGCACACGCAGAGCCACTTGAGCAAGCAAAGCAACAACCACCACATCGGCGGGACCTACATGCTGCCGCGCTGCTCACACACGAGTACGCACCTGCCCACACCCAAGGTCCAACAGCGAACTGGCCACCTTGGGCGACGAATCTAAGCGCAGCAAGCGCAGAACCCCGGGAATGACGAGCTGCTGGTGGAAATGGTGCCCCTCCTGTGGGTTGACCCGCTGACGGCCATCAGAACGGCCGCGTATGATACAGCAGGCCAGGCGGACGCACCTTGCCGACTATGCCATCGTACCACCGTCCCGCGCTTTCCCACGATGTGCTGGCGGAGGTTTGCCGTGCGACTGCAGCAATCGTCGTTCTCTGTCTCCTGCTGGCCATCTTCCGGCCGGCCTTGTTCGCATTATTCTTTGGTTTCTCTTGCCATTTCTTATGCCCCTCCCCTGCTTTTGTCTTCTTTTGTCTGATGTGTGCAAGATGGTACGTGTACCATACATCCGTGAGCTACCTACCTGCTTCTTTATCGATGTGTTGGTGTTGGTTGACCATTCCCGACATGGGCCACTCCTCCTTTGCCTGTGCAGAGCGCCAGATCTTCGGCAACCCCACGAAAACGAGCGGCCAAACGGGCACCTGCGGCAGGGTCCGTTCGGGGCAAGGGTGCGACGGCCGGCAAGAAGGCGAGAGCCGCCACGGCCAGCAAGAAGCGAAAGAGCGAGCCCCAGTCTGCTTTCGACCTGCTCGACCTCGACGGGACCGGTACCCCCTCCCTGGCCTGGTGTCTGCTTGCTCTGCCCACCCGCCCATCAACCCCCCCCCCACCTCTTCTACGGCACAGGACGTGTCGCGGCGCACGAGTTGCGGGGTGTGATGAGTGCTCTCGGCTACGAGGTACGGCACGCACAATGTCCAGCTCTCTTCTGCTGCTCCTGCTGCGGCGGCGGGCGGCGGCGTGGCCTTATTTGGTGGTGGAGTGGGTGACTGACGCAACCAAACACCAGGACAAGAGCGAAGACATCAAGCGCATCATTGGCGAGCTCGAGGACGGACCCGAGGGCTTCGTCGACGTGCGCAAGTTCGAGCAGGCCTTCACGGCGCTGCTGGTCCGTTTCTCCTCCTCTTTTGACGCACAGTGACGCGCTAACAAACAAACACACACACACACCGCTTGGCGCCAACCACAATGTCGTCGCCTATATAGACCGAGAAGGACATGGGTACGGAGATCGAGAGGGCGTTCAAGCTGTTCGATGTCGAGAAGAAGGGCATGATCACGCTGAGCTCTCTGCGACGAGTAGCGCAAGAAGTTGGCGAGAAGCTCAGCGAGGACGAGCTCCACGAAATGATCCTCCTCGCCGATCGCGCCAAGGCACCCCCCCCCCACTCTCCTCCCTTCCCGCCCACGTGCGTGTGCGTTGGAAGATTGGCTCACTTCGATGATTTGGACAGGTCGGGGGAGTGCTGTATGAAGACTTCTGCCTCGTCATGACCTCCTCCTGACCTATCCCCCCCCCCAAGTGCGTGCCGCGGCTGCCCTGTGCGTAATGCTTAGATGGGGTCGTCTCCTTTGTTGTTGGCAGGCCGGTCTGGTCCAGCACAATACACGATACACACGATACACACATGTCACACACTCTCCCTCTTCATCGCGCCCCTCTCTTGGCTCCTCCTCTATTCCACTCTGCACACGGCGCCAAGCGTCACGCCACGGCCCCCGAGCTCAGGGACCAGGACCAGGGGCATTCACTCCCGCGCCCCGCGGACCTGCTCGTTCACCACGTCCCTCTTGGGCGCGTCTGTGTGTCGTGTGTGTGTGTCGTGTGCGAGCGGACGGAGGTGAGCCAACTCAACTCTCGGCCATGCATCGATGGGTGGTGGTGGTGGGGTAGGGGAGCAGCGTCCGTACTGATGGCGGTCTGCACGGTCATGGCGCCCACGCCGTATTGGTTGGAGGTGACAGGGGCGCGGATCTGCTCGTTCACGGTGTCGAGCTTGGGCGCGTTAAGCGCCCGATCGACGTGGATGGCCGCCGAACCCACCGTGCCGTGCACCCGCACGTTCTGGCCGTTCTCCACGTTGGAGAACCCCGTCACCGGACTGTGCACCATCGCACGTATCGCACGGACACACGCATTAGTCACCGGTGGCCCCGCGCGGCATACCCCCTCGCAGCACACGCTCGTGCGCAGTGGTGGCAGGGGTGGTGGTGGTGGTGTCTTGCCTGTGGTTCTTGCAGTAGGCCTTGCCGTCGTAGAACTTGTAGTTGGTCAGGTTGAGCTGCCACGTGCACCCCTCGTTCTGGCCTGCAACCCCCCAAACCAAACCAAACCAAACCAAACCCACCATGAAAGAGTTAAGGGGGGGGGAGAAAGGCGGGGTGGGGTGGGGTGGGGGGTACATTTGAAGCAGCCCTTGTGGTAGACCTGCTCGGCGTTGGGGGGTCCCACCTTGAAGCCCTCGATGGAGTAGGTGGTCTTGCCGCACCTCGCACACTTGCCCAGAGTCGACATGGTTGCTTCTGCTGGTGTGTGGATGGATATTTATTTATTAAGCTCGCCTAGTTAGCCGCTGCAGAGCCAAATGCGCCACCACACAAGCTGCCCCCCCCCCACGCACCTCTCTCGTGTTCTTGTTCTTCTTCGCGCTGCTCAAGGGGATTGCTGGGCACCTTGAGTGGCGCCGTGGCCCTAATTACCGAAGCTAGCACCCCGCCACCGTCCAATCCCGCACGCCCTTCCGCAGGACAACCAATTTCATTCCTTTTTCTTTTGGCTTCCAGGTTACTGTTTGGTGCGGACAGGTGAGAGCTTTGTGATCATTTTCATAAGCAGGTCAACATGATGTTTGCTTGTGCTAACTTGCATGCTCAGTTGTGCAAACCTGCTGGTCCCAATTTTTGCTTGTAGTTGGGATGGACACACCTTTCCTGACCTTGTTGCATCTGCATTCACACAAATTTTTCACACATCAAACTCACCCTCAACTCATTGCAGGTCCAAGCCCAAAAGAAGACATCTTTTCCTGAGTCTATAGCCTCATGACAGTGTGCTATGACTGCCTTTGTGCCACACCTGGCCATCACAAGGTGGAGTCACCCATGTTCCAGTCTTGAAGAAGGGTTTCACCCACTGTAGGATCAACTACAACATCAGGCAACTGCTGGAGAGTCTCTACAGACTCATGCAGGTACCACTCAAGTGGAACCATACCATTGATGCACCCCTAACTCCTCAATGACCAAGAACCCCTCAACCAACCACATAAGAGACAAACATATATAAAGGAGCTCAGCACCAGTTTCACATTCTTCATGTTGATCTCTTTATTCTCATAAAAGCAAATACAACGCTTTCTACATCTACTTCTCCACTACACATATCCTACTCCAACACTATGCCTCAGAAGCAATAAAGCAGCTTTTATTGGGTTTATTTTGTTGTGTCCCAGAGGATGTGGCATTGCAGATCCTTGGCGGTAGTGCTTTCCTCGAGGACTGCAGCCTCCTGTGCCAGTCGCTCACTGAGCTCTGTGAGCACGGGCGGGGGTGAGCACCAGCCACCACCAGCAGCAGCGGCAGCATCGAGCAGCGGTGGCGCTCCTCCGCCGGTGGAGGTACGGTTCTACTTCGACTACCGCAGCCCGTTCGCCTACCTGGCCAAGGATCTGGTCTACGGCATCGAAGACCACTACCCGCCCGACGCCGTGCACGTGCGGTGGCTCCCCTTCGCCTTCCCCGTCGAGGAGGGCTTCGGTCTGCCTGGTGCGCCCCTACCCCCCCCCCACGTCCGACTCTCTTTCTTTTCACTTCCTCTCACCCCGTGGTGGTCCCCCACCGTGGTCCCAACACACATGTGTGGTGTCGTCTTTCACGACGCAGGGTCGCGCAGCCGCTACCACCTCAACAAGGTCAAGTACGCCTACGTCGACGCACGGCAGTAAGTACAAGAGAAACCGGTTACCACAACTCTCTCTCTCTCTCTCGTGTGGTGTGTGTGTCGTGTGCGCGCGTGTGTGTGTGGCCTGACGGAGCGCGCCGTGTTGCTGTGTGGTGTGATGGCACGTGCAGGTGGGCGAATGAGCGCGACCCGCCGCTGGTGATCAAGGGTCCCCAGCGCGTGTTCGATTCCACGAGGGCCAACGCGGCGGGCCTCTTCGCCCAGTCGCTCGGCCGGCCTGTCTTCCGCGCCTACACCGGTACCGCACCCCCCCAACCCCACTCCCATCCCACGCCCGGCCTAAGGCCAAGAGCGCGCACACACACACAACACACACACACCGCTCGATCGCCGCGTGTTCACACGACGCCGTATTAGACCGGGTCTATCGGGAGTTCTTCGAGCGGCGGCTCGACATCGAGCAGGCGGAGGCCATCCGGTGCGTGCTGCAGGACGCCGTCGCGCGCCACGCCGGTGATCATTCCCAGGCCGCCGCCGGGTGGGAATCGCGCTACGCGGCCTTCGTGGGAGACGACGAGCAACAGCAGGAGGAGGGAGGTGGCGGCGCGGCGCGGGGCCAGCTGGCGGAAATTCGCGAGGCGGCCGAGGAGGAGGGCGTGTTCGGGGTGCCCTCCTTCGTGGTCGGCGGCCACCTCTTCTTCGGCGCCGACCGGTTCCACTGGGTGCGCCGCCGGCTCGACGCCCTCCTCGCCGCGCGCCACACGCCCGGCACCACCCAGCCCACCACCTCCTCCTCCACTTGACACTCACCGCCTTTGTGGCCATCTTGTTGTGCGTACATGTAGAGTGTATAAACGTACGGTATGGTAATGTATGGTATGTGGTATGGAAGAACACGCAAACATACCTACCTACACACACATAGCTCACACCTACATAGCCTGCTACTCGGCTGCCATGGCATCGCCGCTGGCGGGGTTGGGCAGGCCGAAGCTGGCGGCGAGCTTGGCCAGGTCCACCCCGCTGGCCTCCACCAGGCCCACCCCCTTGGGTCCCTTCGCCGTTGCCGACGAGGCCGCCGCGTGCTTGGCTTCCCACTCGCGGAGCTCCTTCTCGTGGCGCTGCCGCATGTCGTCCTCCAGGTCCTTGAGCTGCTTGGTGACCCGCTTCCGCTCCTCGTTCTGTCGGAAGTCCTTCTTCTTCCACTTGCTGCGCTGCCGCTTGAGCGTGTCGATCTGCTGCCGCACCTTCTTCCACTCGGCCTTGTGCCGCTGCAGCAGCCGCCCCTTCGACTCCTCCTCCGCGCCTTCTTCTCCATCCTCTCCTCCTCCCGCGGCCTCCGCTGCAGCACTGCTGGAGCTGGAGCTGAAGCTGCTGGAGGCGCCTTCGCCGGCAGAGGCGCTGGCGGCGGCCACGGAGAGGGAGGCGTCGGCCATGGTGCTCACGCCCACTTCCTCCTCATCTTCTGAGGTGGCCTTTTCCGGAGGAGGTGCGGCAGCCGCCGCGCCGGGACGCTCGTAGGGGTGTGCGAGGGTGCGCGCCTTCTTCTTTTGCTTCTTGGTCTTGCCCATGATGTGTTCTCCGATCAGCTGATGAATGAAGGTTCGCTCCTCCTTTTTTCTCCTTTCGTTTTCTTTTTCTTTTATCTGTTCTTTCTTTTGTTAGAAGCTTCATTGCGTGGCGGACATGGAGGAGGAGGTGCGGCAGCACCTGGTTGTAGTGGTGGGGGCTTCGCGCGGCCTTGGACGTGCCCTGGCGCTCGAGCTCGTACGCGACCTGGATGCACCTTCGGGCAGCGTGGAACCACAGCGGCAAGAAGACCGACCACCCGTTAGACCCCACGTGCGAGTAGTGCTCGCCGCTCGTGACGCTGCCGGCCTGGCTTCCACCGCGGCTGCCATCAACAAACAACATGGCCAGCTGCATCAGCTGCAGCATCCAGGAGTAGCGCCGCGTGTGCTGGAGGTGGACCTGGGTGCGGCGAGCGAAGATGCCAGCGGCAGAGAAGGAGCCGTGGCCGCCGTCACAGCCGCCGTGCAGGCCGGTGTGGCGGAGGCGCAGGAGCGAGGGCACGCCTGGCGGGTGGTGGTGGTCTACGCGGCGGGCGCGCACGAGCCGGCCTCGGTGCGGGACGACGACGCGGAGGGAGCGCCCTGCTGGCGCTACAGTCGGGCCGATGACTGGAGCAGCGAGGAGGTGGCCCGCTGGTGGCGAGTGAACGTCGGCAGCGCGGTGGCGCTTCTCTCGCGCCTGCAGGGAGGCCTGGGCCTCGCCGGTCAGGGCTCGCCACAGCCACAACAACAGGGCCGACTGGTGTTCGTGTACCTGTCGTCACAGGCGGCCGAGGAGAGGTGGTGGCCTCAAGGTTCGACGCACGCCTCTCATCTGCTCGAGCGTTTCTCTCATCCGCTTACTGAGCCGTTTGTCGCGGCCTTGACCACCTGCGCTTTCTGCGCCACGCGCGCGTCGTGTTCTACCGTTTTCTTAGGAAACGCCCTGTACGGACCACAGAAAAGAGAGGCTGAGGTGCAGTTGGCGAGCACAGCATCAGCGACGGTATGGGACGCACGGTTGGCGCTGAGAAAACACAACGTGCCCACCACGTACCGTGTGCGTGTGCGTGTATTATCAGGACACCACATTGCTGTGCGTGCGGTACCCCTTTGTGGCGACCGAGATGGCGGACAAGCTCTTTGCCGAGCTGCTCCCAGTGGATGCGGTACAGGCCGCAATCTCTCCCTCTCTGCTTCTTAACCTCGACTCCCAACTTTTTGGTGTTGTGTGTGCAGGGCCTGCACGCTGATCCCACAGACATCACATCGCCGCCCTTGGCACGCGAGCAAGTGTTCCTCCCCCTGGCCAAAGCTGCCGCCGACACCGCAGCTCTGATCTCGGCGCAGCCCAGCAAGGCTGGTGCCCTACACGCACCCTTCCGCCTGGTGGAGCCGCAGGTCTTCAGCTACGAACCGGCACGCCAATGAGAAGACGGATGAGAAGATAGCAGACCGAGCTTACCTTCCATGGAAAGGAACCCCAAGTTAAAAGAGGCGGAAGTGGCGAAAAGCCGCGAGCAGGTCGACATGAAGGAAAAATGAAGCATCCCAGTAATGCATCCAATGAATATTCAGATGTTTGAAATTTCGGACTTTGAGCGGAGACTTCGCCCAGCTGTCAACCAGCAAGTTGCGCTGCCGCGATCTGTTGTTGCGCTCCTCCATCGGCCGTTTGATTGATTCATCATTTTCTACTCGCCCACTCAGATCTCCTCTATTGACCACCACCATGCAAGGCGAACGTCCGATCCCCGACCTTTCCACCTTTGATCCTGCTGACCACTCCTGGTGGCAATGGAGAGAGATGGGCTCCCCCGATGACCCCTACAATCAGATCCCCAAGCTCAGCCCGGAGGATTCGCTGTACAAGGAGTATCTCGACATCACAGAGGCCGGCTACGAGTCCATCCTCAAGGTACATGACTGTTTCTTTAATGAACACAGTGCCGTAACGGAACAAGCGATCAACACATTTATTTTTTTTTTTTCATTTTTTCAATCGCACAGGACTATGATGCCGACGAGGGCTGGGTGTTCTGGAAGGAGCAGGATGTACGCCGCCTCGCTACTTCGAGATCTCGTTCATAATTACCACCTGCGCACACACTCACTCATCTATCTCTATGTTTTCCTTTTATTTTTTGCAATAGGGCATCACCATTCACAGCAAGGACCACCCTGATGACCCCGTCAGGTGCTTCCGTGGTAAGGGCATCATCCCTGCCACTGCGGAGGTGCTGCGTCTGCATCTGGTGCAGGTCGATCTCAGGAAGTACTGGGACGACATGGTACGTACTGCGGCCCGCTTCTGCAGATCATCAGCTGCTACTCGTTTTTTTTTAACCCTCTGGTCCATTTTCCTAATTAATTAATATATTTGTTTTGCCTCTTTTTTTGCATCTCTGCAGTTCCTCGGCGGCACCTACAAGATCGAGTTGACCCCCACCGTGCGCGTGTGCAACTACAAGTTCAGCGCTCCCTGGCCCGTCGCTTCTCGCGACTTCGTCATCATCGCTGGCGAGAAGATCACCGTTCGTGCTCCCTCCCCCTCCATTTGTATCGTGGTGCCGAGCTGCTGACCCGATGGCTACAACGTGTTGCTTCGTCATGCGTGCGTGTAGGATGATGGCCTCTTCGTGACCGTCGTGAACAGCATTGAGAGGGATGACATTCCCGTGGAGGAGGGTTTCGTCCGCGGCATGCTCAAGTCCAGCGGCTTCGTCATCAAGCCGCTCGACAACGACCCCGTTACCGGCAAGCCCCGATGCGAGATCACGTACCTCGTGCAGCTCAACCCCATGGGCTGGATCCCCACCATGTACGCTCCCGTCAGCCACACACACAGAGAGTAGAGAGCGAGACTGCTGACGTGTGTGCCGTGTGTGGTCTCCAGTGTGGTCAACACGGTGAACGTGTCGCAGCCGCTCTGCATCAACACGCTCAAGAACGCCATCCTCCTCACCGAGGCCATGGTCGAGGAGATGCTCCGCAAGTTCACCGAGCTCCCCGCCGAGGAGTGGAAGGCCGACAAGCTGCGCCGGCTGCTCAACAAGGCGATCGACAACCACAACGGCAAGCCCGAGGTATAAAAAAAGACCCTTCCCCCCTATATGTTCGGGCAGGGCTCATCCTCTCATCTTTCCACCGCGCCACACACACACGCAATGCAGATGCTGTACGAGCCCATTCAGTACGTGGTCACGGGCAAGCGTATCTGCGACGAGGACATCTGCGAGACCCTGGAGAAGATCGGCAAGGAGGAGGCCCTGTACCGGATGTGGAAGGGCTCCATGCCCTACCTCCAGAGCATCGCCAACAAGGTACGCGCGCCCTGCCCACCACCATGGCTGCCTCGTTTTCGTTTCTTCCCCCCCCCCTAATCTGGGGTGACTTACGCTCTCTTTCCTCGCTTCCCGCCTGGCAGGAACTGAACGCCACCGCTGCCGATGCTCTTGCCAACCCGCCAAAGCACTAGATGACGATGACGACGACGCACGATGCAATTTTCCTGGGTCCTCTCGTCTCGGGCCTTTCGCTTCCAGTCTGACCACCACCACCAATCATCCCCCTTTCCACCACCCACTCCTCTCTCGTCGTGTCCATAGCCTGTTCCGTTACTCAGCTGACCCCCACAACACAACAAGGGCCAACCCACCGAACACTCCATTTTTCCGCCTTATCTTTTCTTTCTTTCGACCAAAGGGAAGAAATCAATCCTCATGCAATTAAAAATTAGTTATACCTCATCGTGCAAGATGGAGCTGGCAGAAGCGCGGGCAAAGGCAGCAGAGTATGAGGCGTTCATTGAAAACCGGCTGAAGATGGACCTCAAGAGCGTGTTGGATCAGAGGGAAAAGCTACTGCGCCAAATTGCCGATTAGTGCTGCCCCCCGCAATCGCGATTCTCGAATTTGGCGGGAGTGGAACTAATCTTGAGTGAATGTATGCAGCATGACCCTCAAGAACAACTTGTTGGCCATTGAAAAGAACGAGCTCAAGGCTTTCAAGACCCTGGTGAACTTGGGCTCCGAGTTTTACATCCAGGCCAAGGTGTACGTAGAAACGCAACCCTCGAAGCTGCAGATTAATCTCACATCTTTCCATGCGACAGGCCTGACGCATCCAAGGTGTTCGTGAATGTTGGTCTGGGCTTCCACGTGGAGTTCACTCCCAAGGAGGCACTGAGCTTCATCGAGCTCAAGGAGGCCCATCTCACTGGGTACGCTGCACCACGAGAGCTTGTACCCCTTTGCTCAGTCTCACTGAATGGTGCACAGGCGCGTGAACGAGCTGGCAGAGACCGCCAACAGCATAAAGTCGCGCATCCGAACGGTACGCGCAGCCACTCTCCTCCCTCTTGCTGGCCAAACCCCTACAGCAACTTTCTTCACCAGATGTACACGGGCATTGCGGAGCTCATGAAGCTGGCCACCATCAACGAGGAAGACGGACGATAGTAGTGTGGTGAGGAGACATAAAGTTTAAATAGGAGCACTTGGCTATTTATTGCGCGGTGTGCGAGTTGCACGTCCCGGTGGGCCACAGCAGCAGTCCAGCTTGGGACACCACACCCGGGCAAGCCTCGTGGAAGCTCGCGTTCAGCGGAGAACTCTCGCGGGCCTCTGCTGCGGCCGATGGGTGGCGAGGGTAAGGCCGTGCACTGGGTGAAGAGACAAGAACAGTGAGAACAACGTCCAAAAACATGATGGAATGTGGAATAAACAGTGATTTGCTCAGACTTCTAAGGAAGAAAGGCCATCAAAGAACCGCCCCCTTGCGAGGGGCGTCTCACGTAAAAAAGTTGATCATCATGTCTAAAAAAATGGATGGACAGGCGGAGATGGGCACTCACCTCATTGTACTTGGCCACTGGGCGCACTTTCGAAGTGGTGCGGCGATAAGCACGCCATGGATGGGTAAAGCTGCGCAGCATTCACATTTCAAACGGAAACGCTAGCCATCTGTGGAGAAAAAAAAGGAAGAATGAGTAAGGCGGAAGAGGAGTGATGGAGAGAACAAGTAGAACGAGGGAGGCTTCAGATTTGTATCACCAAAGGCCTTGCCTTCGGCGTTATCATCCAACTCGGTAGCCGCGCCAAAACGGCGCAGCTACGCCGTAATTATGCTTCTATGACATAACATCACTAGCCTCCCACTTTCGCACACGCTTGGCGTGGAAGGAAGAGGTACCGTGCGTGTAGAAGTGGCCGCGGCAGGGGTCCTGCTGCATGGCGGCGGATGTGGTGAAGGTGAGCTACTGCTGTGCGGATAGCGGATACGCCAAGAGGGAAAAAGGCGCTGCTTTTTATCTCCTGCATGTCGACAAATAAACTGCAAAACGAAAATCAGAATAAAACGAAAAACGCAAAAAAACAAATAAAAGAAAAAGATAGTAATGCGCAGGGTAGCGTCGAGTGGCCGGCATGCTGCCGAGCTTTGGGGCGGAAGGCGCCTGCTGGCAACGGCCAGCACCACCGGGTACGCCACCGGGACAGGGTCTCGTAGCGCAGGTGTTGCCCACTCACACTGCTGGGCAGCAGCAGCGTAGGGCGTCGTGTGGCAGAAGTGCGCGTGCGGGGGGCGGAGCGAGTGCTGGAGGTGGCGTTCGTGCCCACCGCCTCTCCATCACCACCGGCAGCTGCAGGGCCGCCGGGCGAGGAGCGGTTCCGGTACCCCGCCGAGTACCTGCGCGTGTACAGCCCCGCTGCGGCACCGCACCACCACGAACCCACCGCCACCGCTTCCGGCCCACCCGTACGCGCATCACCCTTCTTATTGCTATGTGGTCGCGGTTGACACTTCTTCACCCCAAACACGGGCACACACGACACACGACACGACGCACGGCACATACGACACACAAGTTGGTGGTGGGCAGGCGTCACGTGGGCATCATCAACGTGCGGCCCGTGGGCAACTATGCCATCCAGTAAGTACCCTCACTTCAACAGTTCTTCCTTGTCGCCGTCCATCTTGGTGCTGGCTGATCGTAGGAATGCCGGCATTCCTCACGCGCGTAGAATCGAGTTCGACGATCTGCACGACACGGGCATCTACTCGTGGGACTACCTGCACCACCTGGGCTCCAACAAATTCGCCCTCATGAAGCAGTACCGCCACTTCTACCCGCACACAACCGATGATGCCTCCTCTTGCTTTTCCACCACCACCAGCTGAGCGCAGTCCCGGGAACCTCAGGTATCTGCGGCGGCTGCAGGCCGCGGGCAAGTCGCGGGAGCCCGCCACCCGGACCCGGCGCACCTCGCGTCCCCCGGCCACGACGACGTCCGCGCCGGCCGCGCCTGCGCAGGTCTGACCAAGCGAAACTCCGGAGTCAGAAGCGGAATTCCGGCAATGACAGAAAAGCAGGAAAATGTACATTTTCTTTCTTTTTAATTTTTCAACGGCCGAGACAAGATGAAGCCGCACCACCACAAACAAAGGGAAGTGGATGAGGAGGGAGGGGCAGGGGGCTACCAACCCATCCACAGCAACAACAACAATGAAAACAACAATAATGATAATGATAACGACAACAATGACGACGATAATGGCTACGACGATATTTATGGCCAAAGGGAAGGGTCTGACATGGGCGGGGGGTCCCCCTTCCACCCCTACCACGCGCCCTCGGCCTACCGCACCCCCTCCACTGCTCTCGCCAGCGGCGCGGGCTACGGCCACGACGACGACGACGACAACAACGACGGCTACGGCGACGGCTACGGAGAGGTCTACGCGCGCCCCGGCCCCTGGGCCGACGCCGAACTGCTGCCGGTGCCCCTGCCCCTGCCGCCCCCGCTACGGGACCACCACCACCACCACCACGAGCGCGACCACCACCACCACCACCACCACCACGGCCACCACCACCACCGCCCCAGCACCGCCCCAGCTCCAGCTCCCGCCCCGCACCCACGCCCCGCACCCCGCTGTACGTCTCCCCTCATATTTTGTAGACCCAACGTGGGCTGTTGGGCTTGGCTGGGCTGGGCTGGGAAATGGCTCATTTCGTTTGTGCCGTGGCGGCGGCGGCGGCGTTGGCAGTTGTGGTCAAGTTTCCGGAGGCGTGGGACGCGTGGATGCAGCGGGCGGACGACGCCATCATCCGGTGGCTGCAGCGGCCCGCCGGACCCATCTTCATGGCCCTCTCCCTCGCCATCACCGGTGCGTGCATCGCGTGCCCCGTGTGCGGAGTTGCGCCCTCTTCGCGTGGCCACGCCTCATCTAACCCGTGTGTGTCGTGTGTTGTGTCGTCGTGTGTGTTGTCTGACGTGTGACGCGTGTCGTGTGTTGTGTCGTGCGTAGCGTGCACGACGATCGAGCTGGCGTTCGTGGTGCCGGTGGTGCTGTTCGTGGCGGGCTGGGACTCCCTGGCCACGGAGCTGACCTACCTGGCCCTCACCACCGCTCTCGTCTCCCAGATCCCCAAACGGTTCGTTCCGCCATCTCGCCCGACACACCGCCACCCTTGCTCCCTCCCTCCTGACTACTCGGACTCGTCGTGTGTCGTGTGTGTCGTGTGTGTCGTGTCATGTCGTGTGTGTCTTGCCATGGCAGGTTTTTGTGGCGATCGCGGCCCTACGTGGCTGGCCGCGCGCAGACGAGGCGCAAGGACAAGACGAGTTCGTTTCCGTCGCGTGCGGTGACGTGTGCGGTGGTGTACACGTTCGCCATCTGCTTCGCCGTCGCGGAGCGCTCCCAGGACGCGCACGTCATCCAGTGGTGGATGCCCCTCGTCGTCTTCGCCGCCTTCCTCCTGGCCTCCTTCGCCCGCATCAACCTCGGCGTACACTACCCGTCCGACTGCGTGGGCGGCCTCCTCCAGGTACCCGCGCCCGCCCACCCAGACGGCCATGAGGCGAGGCCTCACTCGTGGCAATGTGTGCGTTTGTGCGCGTGCGATTTTGTGCGTGTGGCGTGTGGCGTGTGCGGTGGTCGGCAGGGCGCGGCGATCTGTGTGGTGGGGACGCTGCTGTGGGAGCTGGACGTGATCGGGTGCACGTCATGCTCGTCGTCGGACACGTGCTACTCCACCGAGGACGACGCCATCACCTGGCACACCCTCGGCCGCGCCAACTGGTACGCACGCACGCACGCCAACTAAACCTCTTCCCCCCATCGGCATGTGAAAGACGCTCACGTGTGTTGTGTGTGTGTGTGTGTGTGTTGTGTGTGTGTGTGTGTGTGTGCGTGCGTGCGTGCGTGCGTGCGTGTGTGTGTGGTGCGTGTCACCTCAGGTGGGTGTTTGTGTGCCTGTTTGCGGTGATGGCGGGGATCGTGGGGGTGTGCCTGGCCAAGCCGCTCGACTTCTGGGCCAAGTGCGACCGGGTGTACGGGATGCTCTTCCCGTGCGTGGCCTTCCGCGTGACCTTCCTCTGCCCGGTCTCCCTCAACGACCACGCCTCTCTCGCCGCCCCGACCTGGCCGCCGGCCTGGTATTCCTACCTCGTCGGCATCGGCCTCGCCGCAGCCTTGACCGTACGGCTCCCCACCGCCACCAAACCGCGTGTCGTGTGCGTGTGTGCGTGTGCGTCGTGCCTCACACTGAGGTGGCGGTGCAGGTGTTGGGGGTGGCGAACAAGGGGCGATACCCGTTCGTGGCCTACCTGGTGTTCTTCTTCATCACCTTCTTCTCGCTGTCGTGGTGGCGTCTCTTCGTGAGCTCCTGACGACACCACAGCCTCTTCTCCGCGTGTACAGACACCATGACCACAAACAAAATAAAATAATTCTTCTACACTTCCACCAACAATCACACTGACCCCCAGCTATCTGCTGGTTCTGGCGAATGTGTATGTGTATGTGTATGCATATATGTTGCCAGGAGGTGTGTGAGTTCACATGATGTTCTTCCGCTTGCGGTACTTGAACTCAATGGCGCCACCCTCGTATCCGCGCGTTTTGAGGATGTACTCGAGGGAGTGTTCCGTGCCCAGTACCTCGCCCCGGTACGTGATCTCCAGCTGGTGTTATTGTTGTTGTGTTGATGAGGTGCTGCGTCACCACATTAGAGAGAGACGAAGAAGAAGGAAGGCCGACGTACGTCGTGCAGGTTGGGGATGGCGAGCTTCATGCCCACGAACTTCTTCAGGTGCCGCACGGTCACTCGCGCCGACGTGCGGATGACGGGCTTCTCCAGCTGCTGCAGCCCCGGCTCCCTAAGAAGAAGAAGAAGAAGAAGATCAGCGCATCGTATGCTTGAGTGACTATTCCACCTCACGACTCACAGTTTCTTCTCCTCCGTACCCTTCGTCGAGTGTGAGCTCGAAGGCGACCTCGTCCTTGTAGATGGGTTTCGACGGGTCTCGCTTCAGCCGCTTATTCGCTGGCCGCGCCACCTCCGCCGTTCGGGGCGCCTTGCTCTCCTGCGTCTTGAGCAGAATGCCCTCCACCCGCTCGGCTGGCCACGAGACGTGTCAACATTCCGGTCAGCCCAACGTTCCGATCGTAGCCAAATGGAATGCTTACGGCCGCGTGCCACGCACCTTCTTGGATCATGCCGCGAGAGCGATAGAAGTGGGCCTCCTTGGCGATGTCCTTCTCGATGAGGTCGCTGAAGATCTTGTTCACGATCGTCTGCACGGTGCGGTCGAACCTGATGCGCTCGAACGGGTTGGGTCGGAGATCGACCCCACAGAGCGGGCAGTCGGCCGTCGTCTGGAAGTACTTGTACAGGCAGCTCTTGCAGACTTAAGGACAAGTCGCGACGTGCGGTCACACGGGCCACGGTGAGTCAGCAGCGCACCACACACCGAGCACCGAGCACCGAGTAGTAGTAGTGGTCGTAGTCGTAGTCGTAGCACGATTACGAGCGGTAAGGAAGAGAGCCGTACATGTGTGGAGGCACTCCCGGATGGTGTGGGCGTCGCGTAGGACGCCCATGCACAGCTGGCACACGAGGAACCCGCTCAACAACCGCGTTTTGAAGATTATCTGCTCTCGCCGCACGCAACACGACACACACGACACACGACACACGGAGTAGTCGACCACATCGAAAGGAAGTAGAGCATGAGTTGCGGTAGTGCCAACCAAGCCTGCCACTGCCACTGCCACTACCACTACCGTGGTGGTGCTCCTCCGAAAAGGGGTTGTACGTACGTTGCGTCCGTCAAGGATGGGTGGGCGGTGTTCTGACTCTTCCACATCCTCCTCTTCTTCCCCTTCTTCTCCGTCCTCCTCTTCGGCCCCCGCAACACTGTCCTCGGCCGCCGCACCGTCCACTGCTTCGTCTTGGGGCTGGTCGGCACTCTTGTCCGCGCAGTCTTCTTCTTCTTCCATTACTCGTCGCTCGTCCTCATTGTGCTCGCCCCCCTGGCCTTGTTTTTGCCCTGGCGCTGCCCCCTGATCTTCGGAGTCCAGGCGATCGGTGTCCTCCTCCATCATGCTACTCTGCTCGGGGGAATCCCTTTTTGTTCCTCTCGAGGCACTACTAGCCTCGTCAGCTTCTACTGTACTGGCTGTGTGTGCTTCCATCGATCTTCTACGTTTTGTAAATCAATCTGTCTGCGAGCGCTCCCCCCCCCGCCGCTCAAGTGGCATTTCAGGAATTTGGCGGGCAACGGAATTGGCGATGAAGGGGAAAAAATACAGATGTCGAGGGCACACTGTGGTGGTGACAACAAGGAGGGAATGATCAGAAGAGGGCTTCTCGTGGGCCGCGTATTCGTCGCGCGAGCTGGATGTCTGCAATCCACAACACAACAGCTGCCGGTTGAGCGATGGGCACGAACGCAAGCGAAAAAATGGCGGTAGAAAAGAGGGGCGTTGTAGCGTGTAGCGGACCTTTGGTCATGATGGTGACCCGCTTGGCATGGATGCAACAGAGGTTACTGCATCGATGCCCAGTCAGAGCGTGTGTTGATTGCATGAGCAGAGATGGAGGACGTTAACGTCATGGCAACAGGCGGATGACCTTGGAGGGGAAACGGCAAGCGGAAGAGGGACCACGTACGCGTCTTCAAAGAGGAGGGTGAGGTAGTGCTCGGCAGACTCCTGGAGGGCGAGCAGCGCTTGGGCTTGCCAGCGGAAGGGCTCCAGTCCATACGAGACGTTGGACGCAACCTCCTTGATCTGAACAACATCCCCCCACCCATCACGTTGAACGTTTCGTTTAACATTGGAATAATAAATAAATAAACAGCAAAGACTGCACGCAGAGATATAAATATACAAATATACAAATAAAAAGGTGAGGGCAGTGGCCTTGTACCAGGCGGGCGAAGGGCATCTTGGGGATGAGGAGGTCGGTGGTGCGCTGGTATTTGCGTATCTCGCGTAGGGCTTTCGCGCCAGGTCGAAACTTTCGCTTTTTCTTTTCTGGCGGGGTGGAGGACGAGGAGGACGACGTCGCTGGCCTGGCAGCACCGGTTGATTTTCGTGCCATCTGTCGGCTTCGGGGGCTGCTCACGCTCGCGTTTTTGGTGGGGGTGGAGCTCTTCCGCCCTCGCCGCTCCGGACTCGTCGTCTCCCCACTAGGTGGGCCACCCGAGGCAGCTGCCGAGGAGCTGCTCGACGAGGAGGGCATCTTGTGGCGACGTCTCTGATCGATGTCCCAACGGTCGAATTGCGACCAACGATCGAGAGCGCCAGGAAATTGTTGTTTTCTCTGCGTTTTCTTGGGCTGCATTGTTTGGGGGTGGGGACCAAACAGACGAGGCCACCAGCGCAAAGAGAACACGCGGAAGAGGTGATCGCGCTACGCAAATCCGCCAAATCGAGGAACCCAAGTGGATTGGATTGGATTCCAACGCATCGCGCACAATGGCTTCTACGAATTCAGAGAGCAAGTCGCTCTTTGCGGCAGGGGGCGAAGCGAACAGCGATAAGGAGAGCATCTGGCAGCAGGTGTTGGCTCAATCGGCCAAGAAAACACAACCACTTCCCTCCAAAACCATTCTGCTACTCGGTAATTCCTTGCTCGCCGCCTTCGTCTTGCAATTTGGGACACACTTCTCATCCGTGTCCTCATTTTGAAGGCGAGCGGAACACGGGAAAATCTTGCCTCGCTGCACGCCTGCGTGGCCAAGATGTGGTGGAAGGGACGAAGGGCGGTGGTGTGGCGCTCGACTATGGATATCTTGACATTCTTTTGAGCGAAGAGAATGACGGTACCACCACCCTGCATAATTTCAAGCGGAAATCGCTTCTCACTTCTCCTCGGCGGTCAAAGATCTGCTGGACAGGGTGGACATCTGGACGCTAGAGGGGGAATTGGCATTTGCAAACATGTTGGACCTGGCCATCAACGAGAACACGGCCCCAAAGAGCTTGGCCCTTATCGCGTTGGACCTCTCCCAGCCGTGGACCCTGGTCGAGACGCTGCAAAAGTGGATCAAAGTGCTTGAGAACCATCTTGATGCGCGCTCGCTCAGGGACGAAAAGAGTGAGGGCCTGGGTGTTCCACTCCTTGTCGTCGTCAACAAGGTACGGCCACCACCACCGCCCGCCTCTCGCGCCGGCAGCGCGCGTCACCAGGAGTCGCTACGCACCGCAGGCAAACGAAGAATGTGAACTCTAACGTCACTCTACCGTGCACGCATGATGTGGTGGTGTGTTGTGTGGGCACGCCATTGCAGTCTGACGCGACCGCCGCCTTGGAGAAGGACTACGGCTACAAGGACGACCATTTCACCTTCATCCAGCAGCATCTCAGAAGAATCTGTCTCAAGTGTACCCGACGCCCCCATCACCACCCACCCACCAAAACCAGAAGACCTTCTTCTCTTCTCCTTTTCCCAGCCGACTGCTAGCAGGTTGCTCATCGCGGTGATGCGGCGGTGGTGGTGATGTCGTGTGCGCGTCGCGCAGACAAGGCGGGGCTCCTCTACACATCGGCCAAGCGGGATAAGAACTGCGACGTGCTGCGGGGCTACGTGAAGCACCTGCTCTACGCCCTGGAATTCGACGCCACTCCCCAGCTGATCGAGAAGGACACCATCTTCGTTCCCGCCGCGTGGGACTCCATCGAAAAGATCCAGATCGATTTCAGCAGTCAGAGCCTCACCAACGACGAAGGTGCGCCAGCACTTCTTCTTCCTCTTCTTCATCTTGTCCGACCAGTGGCTGACGGTGGTGGGTGGTGGTGGTGCGTCGACAGAGGCCCCGTACGCGGACGTCATTCGCGTGCCGGCGTCGGTGAGCAGGCAGAGCAAGACCAACTACGAGGCGGAGGTCCTGGCAGAAGACGACCAGACCTTCCTGGAGCGACAGCTCAAGCAGATCGACAAAACGCCCCAGGTCGGGCCGGCTCAGCCTGCCGGCCCGGGAGCTCTCTACTCATCGCCCACCAAACCACCATCCACCAGCGGTACATGCTCGACCCTTCATCAGGCTCACCTGCCGCCTGCATTATTGACGCAAGGCGATGTGTGTCGTGTGTCTCGTGTGCGTGTCTACAGTGGAAGGAACGGCCCCCAGCACGCCGGCCCGCTCGACCGGCCGACCGTCAATGGGCGCCACACCACTCAAGACGCCCTCCACCCCGCTCGCCACGCCGACCAAGGCGGCCGCGGCCGCGGCAGCTGCGGATGGGACGCCCTCTCGCGGCGGCGCGAAGGGCGGGCAGAACGAGCACAAGGTGCTCTCCGAGTTTTTCAACAGCCTCATCAACAAGGACCCGCGAGCCGCGGCGGCCAAGCGCAAGCCCCCGTCCGCCACCGCCACTGCGTCATCACCCACCTCCACCGCGTCGCCTTCGAGAAAAGAGGCCGAGAAGTCCATCAACCGGCTCACGGCCAAGCGGGACAACTAGCCCCGCCAGCGAACGAGCGTGTTACTCCCCGCGTACATAAATTGATTCAACGAAGCGCCAGCAGGTTCCCTCGCCCACACCAGCTCCAGACGAGGCTACCGCAGAAGAAAAGAAAGAGAAAAAACCAAAGGTTTTTGAAGCCTTTCCCGCCTTTTTACGCCAACGTGAACAGACAACAACTCTCTCCATTGCTTTTCATGTGTGGCACATCATCACCATTATCATCATCCAGTAATTCTCTCCTTCCCTCCCCCACCATCTGTTGGTGTTACTTGAACTAGTTTGGTCTTCTACAGAAGCTGCTAGACAAAAGGGGAAAGCAAGGGGGGGGGAATGCCATGGTTTGCAGATAATGGTGTTTTGGGGGGAAGAGCTTTGTGGGAGATCTTTGTAGACAAGAGAGATGGCAGTTCAAGACACAGAGTCAAGACACAAGAAAAGAGAAGAGAGAAGAGGTGTAGGTGTGAGAAAGACTGTCTGAACATGATCTGACAGAGCTAGCCAATGCCAGCAGTAGAGGGGGAAGAGAGGAGGGCCTCAATGCCAAGCTGGCACTTGAGGTCAGAGTTGAGGAAGGGAATCAATGCACAGCCCCTCAAGGACACAGACCTGCATCCTCATGAACCACTGCTCCCACACTGTCAGAAGCATGTCCATGGTGGAGGTGCTGCCATAGTGGGGGGACCAGTCATGGAAGGTGGCCTTCAGCATGCACTGAAGGGTCTCCTGTGTGTTGTTGCAGAGCCCCCCCAGCACCAAGATGGTCAGTGGCATGCTCTGTGATCTTGTGCATGTAGTTGGGCTGATGGTGGCTGCAGATGATGGTGGTGAAGGTCTCCATAACCTGCATGTTTGCCTGGAACCACACCATGTCTTCCTTATGAGAAGGGAGTGAGGGGTTGAAGATGTATATTGCTGGGCTGAATGGTTGTGAAGCTGTTTGCCTTGGCCTCAGAGAGGTACCATTTCTATGTGGTATTATATCAAAATACACCTATACACTACATCACTACCTCTAGCTTGAACAAGGGCAGCCACAGTCAAAGTAGCCACCACCTTCACCACCAGGACAGACCAGCTTGAAAAGTTGCTTTACCTCCAAACTCAAAACAGAATAAAACACGGATCAGATTGTTTAGTGGCTCTGTTGCATTCGCCAATTTGCTCACACTTTTCGTAAACGAAAAAATTAGCTATTCATTTCTTAAAATAACAATATAATAAAATGCAGACACTGGTGGTGGACTGGGGGGCGGCTAGCACGAAGGCCAGGACGGAGGCGCCAGGGACTCCAGCGAGCTGGCCATCGAGGAGGTGGCCGACCTGTGGCGACTCGTGTTTGGCCCTCAGCACCTCTGCGTTGACACCACGGAGCACATGCTCATAACGGCCGAGGCCGCCCTGGCCCCCAAGATCCACCGCGAGCGCTGCTGCCAGCTGGCATTTGAAGAGTATCAACCCCCCCCCCTGACAGCCACTACTTGCACATTTTTCTTTTGGTTTGGCCTCATTGTGTGGCTGCAGGTTTGGTGTGGCTGGCTACTATGTGGGCACCAGCGCGGTGCTGAGCCTCTACGCAGCTGGCCGCACCACTGGCATCGTTGTGGACTGCGGCCACCACTCCACCACCCTGGCACCCATTTATGAAGGTAAAGACTTTGTGTTGCAACGCCTTCATCCCGCAAGTAGCACGTATACACTTGCTACTTGCTCACAAACGCACAGGCTACGCGTTGTCTCACGCGATCAAAAAGCTGCCCTACGGTGGGATTGACACCACCAAGAAGTTCATTGACCTCCTCAATGACTCTCCCTTCCGAAGTACCGCATCCGCCTCCTCTTCTCACCCACTGACATTTTGCTCAGCCTCATGATTGTCTCTTCTTTGTTGTTGTTGTTGTTCTTCAGCGTGGCGTCGCTTGTCCAAGACGGCGGGGGCGGACCTACGTGAGGTGGGCAAGCTGAAGGAGCGTGTGTGTCGGGTGGCGCTCGACGTGGCCACTGAACGCGACGCCGCACACCAGCTGCACGCACGGTGGGACGCCCTGCACGCGGCTACGGCCAATGAGGCACTCTACCTGAGCAGGCTTCCCAAGGAGCTCTCGCAGATCGTGCTAACCAACGTACTCGACGGCGAGCCGGTACGCTCTCTGCCGAAAAGCCTGAAAAACACGCACAACGCACGACACTCACGGCACACACCGCACATGCAACTTATCATTGTTGAGTGCAGGTCGGAATCACTCGCTACGCCCTTCCAGACGGCACAGTACTACGCGTTGGCGAAGAAGTGTTTGGCTGCGTGGAGACCTACTTTGATCCCACCTACTGCCACACCACAAGCTCTGCGCGGAGCTCAGCCACAGTGCCCCTGGGGCGCAGCCCTGTCATCCGTGCTGATCCGTTGCTCTCAAGCACGCACGCTTCTGCATCGGCCGAGGTGAGCGATGCTGACAGGAGGAGGGTCCACCCATGGGCTTGGCTGCCTTTGTCAGTGATGCCATACAGCTCATTGACGATGATCTGCGCAAGGACCTGTACAACAACATTGTCCTTTCTGGCATGTTGCCCTCTCACCTCTGGTGTGAAGCCTTGCCTTTGAGTCCAGCAGTACTGACGCCCTTTTGGTCCAAACACAGGCGGTGGATGCAAGTTTCAAGGGTTTCATGAGAGGATGCAGAGTGACATGACCAAGTTATTGGTGCGTGCTGCTACTCTACTCTCAGTCACATCAATGCCTTCAATGTCAATGAGATGACCTTGATTGCAACTGAGCCTCCCCACTCTCAATCCTCAGGACAAGCGAACTCTCCCATATGTTCCTCGCATCAACCCTGTTCAACCAGATCCACTCATTGGCAGCTGGATTGGTGCACACTCCCACCTTGACAATGTGCAGCCTGTATGACAGAGCACTGATCTTCTCTGCTCTGATCTGATCATTGAATGCTTCTTCACTTCTCATCAGGTGGTTCCATTTTGGGCTCATTGTCATCTGACATGTGGACATCTGTGTGCATTGCAAAGCAAGCCTATGAAGAGCATGGTCCCACCATTGTACACCAGCGATGCTTCTGACACAGCTGCACTCATGCGTTTTACTTATTTATACAACTTTTAAGAAAACCCTGTGCGGTGTGTGTGCCACGTGTGTGTGTTGCAAATCGCACACGCTCTGGCTCACGGACTGGTTGTGAGTTCACGTCCACTGCCGGGTTACCTGTTGGGGTGGCTGCCGCCGTGCAGTTGAGGTGGTGGCAGCCAGCCTGCAGCCATGCGGATGCCGGAGATGAGGTGGTGGGCAAGGCCGCCTCCACACCGGGACTGACCAGCTTGCCAAGTCTTCACCATCACCAAACCAAAAACAGAGTAACTTACTAATAAATGGATGTTTGGTGACTCCTTGGCTGGTCTCATCTAGATCATGGCGCCGGCGTCATCGGCGTCGAGGTGCTTGGCCAAGAAGGAGAGCACGTCGTCCATGCTGGGTCGCTTGTCGGCCGACGCGTGCCAGCAGCGCTTCATTACCTTGCGGAAGTCGGTCGGGCAATCGCCGGGGATGGCAGGGCGCCGGCCCTCGAGCACGTCGAGCGACACGCCCATGAAGTTGCGCCCGGCAAAGGGCTCCTTGCGCGTGACCACCTCCCACATGATGACGCCGAACGAGTACACGTCGGCCCGCTCGTCGTACTTCTCCCCGCGGATGATCTCCGGTGCGGTCCAGCACGGCGTGCCGCACCTCGTCATCGTCGCGTTCTCCTCCTTGATCCGCGCGAACCCAAAGTCCGCCACCTTCACGTTCCAGTTCTCGTCCACCTGTTCGCCGTGATTCACACACACACGCACGCACGCACACAGTGAGTGTCGTGTCTTGCGTGCCGTGTGTCGTGTGTGCAATTGTGGCGCGTACGAGGAGGTTGGAGGGCTTGAGGTCTCGGTGGACGATGACGGGCTGGAGCGAGTGGAGGTAGTTGATACCCAGCGCGGCCGAGCGCAGCATCTTGACCTTCTGCTTCCAGGTGAGCTTGATGGCGCTGTTGCCCAGCGTGTCGCGCAGGCTGCCCCGCGCCATGAACTCGGTCACGATGCACAGGTTGGGCTTCTTCACGCACGCGCCTGTCACCTCACCCCCCGCGACGATCAGCGCGTGCGGTATGCGTGGTATGCGCGGTGTGTGCGGTGCGTACCGATGAAGAGCACGATATTGGGGTGGTGCAGTTCGGAGAGGAAGGCCATCTCGGCCCTGAACTCGAGCATGCGGCGCTCGTCGAGCTTCTGCTTGATGAATCGCTTCACGGCCACCTCGACGCCCTTCCACTTGCCCCGCAGTACCACGCCGTAGGACCCGAGGCCCACCTGCTTGCCCACCTGGATCTCGCCGTAGTCGATGATCCACCGACACAGGTTGGCCGACGTCAGGAACGTGTCCTCCTTGAACATCATCCTATGTGTGTCGTGTGTGTCGTGTGTGTCGTGTGTGTGTGTTGCGTGTGAGACACGCGCGCATCGCACACGCTCGGTGGGATCGTACCCTTCCCCGACGACGGTTTGGAGTTCGCGTCCGCTTCCGGGTTCGCTGTCGGGCTGGCTGCCGCCGCTGCTGCTACCACCGCCGCCGTGCGAGGTGCCGGCGCCCGAGGTGGTCTTGTTGGTCGACGTGCCGTCGCCCCCAGCCTCGAGCGTCACCCCGCCAAAGAACCGCGCCTCCAATCCCGGCGTCTTCAATTCGAAGAGCTTCGATCCTGCACCGCCGGCCCACCATCATCAGACGTGTCGTGTCGTGCGTGTCGTGCAGGATACGTGCCATCCGGAGAATCGGGCATCTCGAACTTGCCGAGGCCCACCACGCTGCCCTTCTTGAGCTGCTCCTGGCTGCCGTTGCCGTCGCTGCCGCCCATCATAGCGGCCAGCTCGGGCGAGCCCTTGATCCGTTGGAAGGCGGCGTGGCTCATCACGATCTGGCCGCCGTGCGTGAGGGCCGTGATGCGGGCCGCGGCGTTGACCACCGGCCCGATGTACTCCACCCGCCGGGTCATCGGGTCGCGCACGGCCCGCGGCGCGCCCAGGTGGACGCCCATGCGCACCCGCAGGCCCCGGAACAGCACCCGGTCATCGGTGTCGCCCCACTCCTCGGCCGCGCCCGGGTGCTCGAGCAGCGCCTCGGGCCAGGCCACGCCCAGCAGGCTCCGCTGGACGTCGGCGCACCAGGCCAGGGCGTCGACGGGCTGCTGGAAGGCCATGCAGAACGAACCCTCGCCCGAGTTGCGGTCGCGCACGAACACCACCTCGTAGCCCCGGTGCCGCTTGAGCGAGTCGCGCAGGGCTTGGTTGTGGAGCAGGGTGGCGTCGCGCATGGCGGCCGCGTTGAACTCCCAGAGCGAGGCGGCGCGGGTGATGTCGGTGAACACGATCGCCATCTCGCCCTCCGGCGGCCGCACACCACCGCCGCCGGCGCCCGTCATGCCGACGCCGGACAAGTGCTTAGACGAGCCGGACGACGATGATGAGGAATGCGAGGAATTTGTGGTCGACGGCAGGGTCCACGACCCGAACGAGCTCGTCGTCGTGGTCGCCGTCGTTTTCGTTTTCGTTTTCGTCGTCGTCTTCTCTCTTTGCTCGCCCGAGGCCGACGACGATGAGGTGGAGTAGGAGGTGGCGCTGCCGGCCGTGGTGGTCGAGTCGCCGTGCATGGCCGAGAGGCGGGTCATGATCTCGAGGAAGGTGGGGCGGATGGTGGGGTCGTGGTGCCAGCAGCCGGTGATGAGATCCTCGTACTCGGCCGGGCACAGCGCGGCGCCGGCCTCGGGCATGCGCGGGCGGATGTTGTCCCGGATCACGGCCACGGCCACGGCTGCCGGACTGAGGCCTAGGTAGGGCTGCTCTCGGGTGAGCAGCTCCCACAGAATGACGCCGAAGCTGTAGACGTCGGCCAGGATCAGATCGACGTCGCCGGCCTCGTTGAGCACTTCAGGCGCGGTCCAGTGCACGCTGCCGGCCATGTGGTTGTTGTTCTTGCCACCGCCACCGCCGAGGCCGCCCTTAGGGCCGCTGATGTCCTCCTTGAACTTGGTGAGGCCAAAGTCAGAGACCTTGACGTTCCACTTGTTGTCGAGCAGCAGGTTGAGCGACTTGAGGTCCCGATGCACGATGCCTGCGTGCGGTTGTTAGACGCGTGTCCGATGGGGGGAAAAGAAGAACGAAGAGCGAAATGGAGCGAGACAAAGAACGAAGGGGGGAGGGGAGCAGTGCGTACCGGAGGAGTGGAGGAAGTGCATGCCCTTGGAGGCCTGGTAGGCCATCTTGGCCTTCAGCGGAAACGGAATGTCCGGAATCAGCTCGTTGTGCAGCAGCTGCATTGCAATCATTCCAACCATTTACCACATCATCACCATCATCAGTCTCAGCCGCCACAGAACCACATCATCACCATCATCATCAGTCTCAGCCGGGCTATATGGTGGACCACAAGGGGGCCAACGTACGTCGAAGAGGGAGCCGAGGGCCATGAACTCCATGACGATGCACATCTTGGGGGCCTTGGTCGACGCGGCCATGAAGAGGACCACGTTGGGGTGGCGCAGCGCGGTCATGACGCGCACCTCGTCCTTGAAGCTCTTCTCCATCTCCTTGGTGATCCGCTCCGAGGCCATGACCTTGACCGCCACCTCGGTGCCCTTCCACGTGGCCTTGTGCACCTCGCCGTAGCCGCCGGCCCCCAGCTGCTCGCCCACCTCGAGCTCGTCGTACTCGATCTCCCAGTCGTCGCTTCCGCTCCCCTTGCGCCGCACCAGCACCACGACCACGATCACCAGCACCACCAGCAGCCCCGCCACCACCGCCGACACCGGAATCACCGTCGCTGCGACAGCCGAGAGCGTCAGTGCGTGTGTGCGGCGGAAGTGTTCGTGTGTCGTGTGCGGTGGTGTACCCAGGATGGCGATGGTGGAGTCGCTCGAGCTGGCGCTGGTGGCGCTCTCGCAGTGCAGGCCCTCCCGGCCCGAGTCGCAGGCGCAGGCGTTGTTGGTGCAGGTGCCCTGGCCCGAGCACAGCTGACCGTCGTCGGTGATGCAGTTGGCCAGCGCGCTCACGGGCTGACCGGCGCAGGTGAAGGCCCTGAGCTGCCGCATGAAGCTGCGGTTGACCTCGTCGGAAGCCGTCGGCAGCACAAATCCTTGCCTAACGGCCGTTGTGTCGTGTGTGCGTCGTGCGTCCAGTCAGCGAGAGAACGAATCGGCGCAGAGAGGGAAAGAGCGAGAAGGCGAACCTGACGGCGTTCCGCAGGGCAAGAGCGTCGGTCTGGGACCAGAGCAGGAAGTCGGCCAGGGCGGCTGCTTTGTTGCAGTCGTCCATGCCCGTGCCGCGGTAGACCGTGGCCCCGAACGCTGTGATGGGCCAGCTGCCGGCTCCTCCGCCTGATGCGAACAGAACACAAAGCACAAACCATGGAAATGTAGAGAGAAAGTGGTCAGGGGATGCAGCCGGCCGCCAGGGGGAAGGACTGGGATCTGTGAGCTGTACCGAGGAGGATCGATTGGTAGGAGCGGTCGGCTGCGGCCGTCGAGGCGAGGTAGTCGTCGAGCGCGCTGAGCACAGAGGCGGTAGAGGGCGCCACCACCTGGCCCGCCGGGTTGACCAACGACGCCGAGCTGAGACCTCGGGCCTGAAGGGTGCATCCAACAACCCTTAGACACGGCCGCGTCGGCGCAATGACAGTTAATTGGAAGAGGAAGAGAGCTGGGGGGGGGCAGCGTACCGTGAGGATGTCAAAGTGCTGCCAGAAGATGAACGAGTAGGGATTGCTGTTCAAGAGGCTTGCCACGTTGGTGGTAGAGGTGTTGATGGATCTGTTGGTCTGCTGGATCGGGAATGACACGATCAACCCCGATCCCACCTGTGTGTGTGTGTGTGTGTGTGTGGAATCGAGCATCGGTCAGCCGAGACTGTGATGGTGTTGAACAACCACCAGCACCACAACCAGCACCACAAATAAAGCAAGCGTGGGCGAACCTGAGCGGCGAAGTCGGGGACTGTTTGGCTGAGCATCTGGGTGAAGAGCTGGGTGTAGGCCGAGCTCACGTTGTGGGTCACCACCATGATGTCCTGGTCCGGCAGCGCGGCGGCCACGTCGGCCGAGTTGAGGTCCTTGATGCGCTGGTCGTTCCACCGCGTCACCGTGTTGAGGTAGATTCCCGCAATAGTAGGCAAGTCGAGCACCAGCGTCTTGCCCTTCAACTCCGGCACATTGTACGCTGTTTGTGTTGCGGTTGGTTGGTTGGTTGGTTGGTTGGTTGTTATTGGATTGTGATTGTACACAATGCAATGACCAATCGGGAGAAGCCGCATAAACCATACCGGGCACGAGAGCGAAGGCGGTGGTGGGGACGATCTGCAGGTCGGACAGGAGGTCGTAGTAGCTGCTGGCCAGGCCGTTGCTGGTGACGCTGAAGTCGGCGTTGCCGTTCACGAGGCGGTCCTTGCCGGTGGTGGACGAGGACAGGTAGAACTTGGCCCGCGTCTGGGCCGACGACCAGCCCACGGCCCACGAGGTGAAGATGGGCAGCGGCGACCCGATGCCGATGAGGAAGGCCGTCGAATAGGCACGCTCGCCGTTGCACTGAACCGTGCTCAGGAGGTCCACGATCCGCTTCTTGAGGCTTGTGTCGAGTGGCACATAGTTGATGCTGGTCGCGTCCGTGCTAGCCCTGTATGTGGCCACAACACAAGTTGTTGGGAAAACGGAAGAAAAGAAGAGAAAATTCAAGAAACAACGGACCCGTCGTTGGTGTGAATCCAGGCCACGAAGGCGAGCAGCTCCTGGACGGCGGTGCAGTCGACGCCGGTCACGTTGCGGTCCAGGGCGAGATAGGTGAGGTAGGAGATGGGCCACGAGTTGGTGCCGTTGGCGTCGTGAATGTCCACCGAGAAGTTGCTGTGGGCGAATTCGGTCTGGAACTGGCTCATGGCCGCCTGCACGGTGGCCGTCGACGGACCCACCAGGCTGCCGGCTTTGTTGTACATCACCATGTGTGGGAAGCCCGACTTGATGGCATCGGCATAGCTGAGGTAGGTGATGCTGTCCTCATGAGCCTGCATTCCATGAATACCACCACATGTGGGTCAATGCGCTGGGCCAGCGCGTGATGCATTCAACAGGGGCGCGTCTCGTCCAGGGCAATGCTAGTGCGTGCGTGTGTGTGTGTGTGTGCTGTGATGCGTGATCGCGCTGTGGGGAGTGTACGCCGAGCCACACTTCTCTCTCGGCCGTCGAGACGCCGGCAGACTCTGCGGTCCCGCGCAGGGCCGGTGGCATGTCGGCAAAGTCCCGGCCGGCTGCGGCAAACAGCCTCGCGAAGTCGGGGCTGAAGCTCTCGAGCGAGCGTTTGACCACTTCCGTCGACGAGTAGGCGATGTTGTTGTTGTAGCCCAGGGTGATGTTGGTGCTAGGCAGGGACGAGGCCAGGCCCGGGTTGAGGTCCTTAATTCGTTGGTCGTTCCACACGCTGACGTTGCCCGCCCAGATCAGGCCCAGAGTCTCCCGGTCGATTCTCTGATTGGCCCAAACATTAACGAGGTCATGTAGACCAACCATCTGGTCAAAGATTGTCTTTTGGGGGGGGGCGTACCAAGCTCGCGTTGAGAGAAGAGAGGGAGGGGACGTTGTAAGCCATGACGATGGCCTGCCCCATGAGCGGGAACTGGATGAGGTTGCCGTACGCGGCGGCATCCTGATCCGATAAGAAGCGGTCCACACAGACGAAATCCTGCCCGAGCAACCCCCCCCCCACAAACATAACAGCTGAGCCTCTTGCCCGAGTGATGTTCATTTGGAGCAGTTGATCCAAATTGGATGGAGCGGGTACCAGTTCCCCGTCGGCGTACTGTTCCAAGCCCGTCGTCACGCCCGTGTTGGTGTACGAAATGCTGCGGTGCGAGAAGGCGGTCAACAACAACAACAACAAGTCGAGCAGAGAGACACTCACGCAAGTGGCGGCCAGACCTGACATCGTCCCGGGTGTAGATGTAGTCCGATTTCCACGACGCGAGCACGGACACGGCGTTCGGACTTCCCGCGCCAAACAGCTCCACTCCATAGGCGTCTACTGCACAGCATAGTGGGACCAGAGAAAAGGACCAGAGAGGGAGAATGGTGAGACTCGAAAGGGCAATGGGCTTTAGAGCGAAGGCGGTGTACCCTGATAGCAAAGAAGTAGTAGCACAAGAATAGACAGTAGCGCCTTGTAGAGCGACATCCTGAGGATGAGCGGTTGGGTGGTGATGATGGTGTGTGGAGTGAAGACAAAAATTGAATGAAGTTGGGAGAGTGGTTTTCAGCCTGCTAAAACCCAACGGCCAACCACTACTGGTTGGACAGACGTGGGGAGACGTCTTACCGTCGTCGCTGTGGGAGTTGATTTGGACCTCCGGAGTTGAGTCGAGCTAGGTCAAACTACCACACTCTCTGATCAACCAATCAGATCCGTCGGAGAAACAGCTTGCTGGGTGATGATCTTTGACTCTTGACCGGCTTGTATTTGTGGCATCATCCATCATGGCGCCGGATCGATCGGGTCCGCACGCACTCAAGCCAGATCGGATGCGCGGTGAGCACACACGCCAGACGAGAAGACCGCGGCTTGAGTGCGGTGATGGCTGCCCCAGGCGACGTTGGTGCCCCTCACCGTTGGGGACACCCAACTTATCATGCCTTGTAGAGGAGTCGTAGGCGGGCAGGCGCGTCAGTGCCGCCGTCAACCAGAGTCGTAAGCTTGCACTTTACCCGTCGCCTCGGTGGCACCACTTTGGCGGTCACTTATGAGAGGCGCAATAAAGTGAGCTCGAGCCAACGGCGCCTTCGCGTTGACCGCAGGCAAGTACCGCCGCGGGGTATTGGGCACGACGAGACACAGCACTTTCGTGCCAACCCCGGCAACAACGGCGCTACCCCAAGTCCTCGCAGTGCAGGGCGTAATCGTTGTTGATGATGCCGACGACGACGACGATGGGCGTATGTAACAGGCCGTTGTGTTCGTTTGTTGATGGTCATGACGGAGTCGTGGTTCAGTCGGTCCAGGTGAGGCCGAGGGTGCGGGCGATGAAGGTGTACGTGTCGGCCGCCTCCTCGATGGCCTTGCTCGTGGGCTTGCCGCCCCCGTGGCCGGCCTTGGTCTCGATCCGAATCATCAGCGGCTGCACCTGCTTCTCGTAGGAGCCCACCGTGTGCTGCAGCGCCGAAATGTACTTGTACGAGTGCAGCGGCACCACTGTTTGTGTTGTGTGTGTGTGTGTGTGTGGTGTCGAGTGTCGTGTGGCCAGTGACGCACAACGTGAGCCAACGCGATCGTCAGAAAGAGAAAAGGGGACAGGGCGTACCGCGGTCGTCGTGGTCGCCGGTGGTGAGGAGGACGGCGGGGTAGGTGGTGCCGGGGCGCACGTTGTGGACGGGCGAGTACTTGATGAGGTACTGGAAGTCGGCGTCGTTGTCGGCGCAGCCGTAGTCGGGCGTCCAGGCGTGGCCGATGGTGAACTTGTGGAAGCGGAGCATGTCGAGCACGCCCACCTGGGCCACGGCGCAGCCGAACAGGTCCGGGCGCTGGTTGGTGCAGGCGCCGACGAGCAGGCCGCCGTTGGAGCCGCCCACGATCACGATGCGCGCGGGCGACGTGTAGCGGTGCTCGACGAGCCACTCTGCCGCGCCGATGAAGTCGTCGAACACGTTCTGCTTCTTCTCGAGCGTGCCCGCCGTGTGCCAGTCCTCGCCGTATTCGCCGCCGCCGCGGATGTTGGCGATCGCCACCGTGACGTTGAGGTTCTGCATGAGCACCATGCGGAACGACGAGAACGACGGCTGGATGGAGATGCTGAACCCGCCGTAGCCGTAGAGGTACACCGGCGCGCTACCGTCGCGCGGCGTGTCGCGCTTGGAGACGACGAACATGGGCACCCGCGTGCCATCGCGGCTCGTGTAGAACACCTGCTCCGTGGCGAAGAGGCTCGCGTCGAACCCGGGCACCTGGATCTCGCGGAACGGCACCGGCTCGGTGCCGTGCTTCGACGTCCGATCGTACAGGAAGATCGTGCCCGGGTACAGGAACGACACAAAGTAGTAGAACAGGTACGACTCCTTCTTCTTGCCCGAGATCTCTGCATTCAAGCAAGCAATCAACCATCAGTACCATCATCATCATCATCGCCTTGGCGGGAAAGCAGTGTCGCTTTTGGCGGAAAAAATTGGCGGGAAATAGAGAGAGGGGCTGCGGGGAGTACCCTGTACGGTGCCGGGGGCGGGCATGGGGATGGAGAGGAGGCGCTCGCCGGAGACGAGGGCGTGGACGTAGAGCACGGTCTGCACGTGGTGGATGTACCCGAGGGCCAGCTTGTCGTGGTCGAAGCAGATGGCGTAGTCCAGCACGTCCTCGCTCTCCGCCACCAGCTCCTTCCACTCGCTCTGTGTAGGTCACGCCCGCACGACACACCACACCACACGCTCGCGTTAGCCCGACACGGCCCATTGTGGTGGCGGTGGAGGGCAAGCGTACCTCGTCGGGGCGGGTGAGGTCGATGGTGATGAGCTTGTTCTTGGGGGCCTTGAGGTTGGTCTTGAACCAGAAGAGGGTGCCCTCGTTGGTGATGTACTCGTACTGCGCCTCCCAGTTGTCGACCAGCTTCACCACCTGCGCCACACCAACCCAGTTCGGTTCGGTCCGCCAGCGACCGCCCCCCTTGATGTGAGTTGCTGCGGCTCTGCGACATCATCATCACGAGCGATGTTGTGGGGAACGCGTACAGAGAGTCCGTGGTCACCGCCGGCGGCGGGCTCGAAGCGAGCCAGGTCGTAGTAGTAGAGCTTGTTCACTGGCGCTGTGCCCTTGTGGTGCGTGAGCAGCAGGTATCGGCCGTCATCTATGGAGACAGTCGCCGTTCGAGCGTGAGTCGGTCAGGTCAGTGGCCAGGGAGCAAGCGAGCGCGGTGGAGGGAGGTAGGAGGAGGGGTACGGACCGGTGACTTCGACGCCGAAGATGAGGGTGGGCTCGTCGGGGGTCTCGAAGATGAGGGGGTCCTCCTCTTGGCTGGTGCCCAGCTTGTGGTAGTACACCTTCTGGTGCAGGTTGGTGTCCACCTCGCTGCCCGCCTTGCCTCCCTCCGTGCTCTGCACACGACACGACACGACACGACACGACACGACACACGCGACATCGTGTGAGTGTTGCGACAACGATTCGTGGGAGGTGGTGGCGCGCGTACGTCGATCTTGGGCGGAGGCGGGTAGCGGGCGTAGAAAAAGCCCTTGTCGTCGTGGGTCCAGGCGATGGAGGAGAACTTGACCCACTCGAGCTTGTCGGGCAGGTTGTCGCCCGACGCCACCTGCTTCACGTAGACTGTCTGCCAGTCGGACCCGCTCCGCTGGATGCCGTGCGCGTAGTATGCCCCGGACTCGGAGAAGGCCCGCGTGCCCAGCGACGCCGTACCATCTTCGCTCAGCGTGTTGGGGTCCATGAAGACCTACGCGCACACGACACACGCACATGGCACGACACGACACGACATTAGAAACGTAATCTCATGACACCTTGAGCGGCGACCATCAGCATCGGGTAGCCGCCAAGCTTGGGAGAAGAAAGAGTACGGTGGGTTCGGCGTCGAGGGTCTCCTGGGTGTAGAGCACGGACTGGTTCTGGAGGCCGTCGTTCTTGAAGAAGTAGAAGCGATCGCCACGCTTGAAGGGACACGAATACTTGGGGTAGTTGTAGACCTCCTTGAGCCGCTCGTGGATCTTGCCGCGGTAGTCGCACTCCTCGAGGAAGCCGAAGGTGAGCTTGTTCTGCTCTTCCACCCACGCACGGGTCTCCTCTGAGTCAGGGTCTTCCAGCCTGCCAAGGAGCAGAGGTCAGCGCCACATCGTGAGGAGGTGCAAGGAGGGGCTCTCAATCAATTGAGATCGAATGAGCTATGTGCACGTAGCGCAAGGTTGCAATTTGGACCTGGCGGTGTACGCACCAGCGGTAGGGGTCAGCGACGCCGTGCTCGTCGACAACGCTCTCATCCCTTCTGGTGTTGGGGTACGCCCACGTCTTCGCAGTATTGGAAGCCATGCCGCTCTTCTTTCCAATCTTCTTGAGCAAATCTTCGTCCGGTTTCAGATCTGAGAGATTGCTGTTGCTGCGTGTGCGATGCATTGTTTGGTAATCGAGTAAAAGAGAGTTCGCTGGTTGGTGGTCTCGCAACCCAACACAACACGTCATGGTTTGTTGGGCAACCCATCATTTAATGCATTGATGAAAATGCGATAATCTGTCACCTGCTGGTTAAGAGATCGCGGGAGTCGAGTAGGATTGAAATGCCTTTACTTCCCCAGAGCACACCATCATGTACAAATCCGCAACACCAGACAGGCGGTGATGATGTGGTGTTGAAAAATTGAGCTGCCGATGAAGCAGATCGCGTAGATAAGCAAGCCGCTTATTTGGTGGAGAGGATGAGGGCGACGATGAGGCCGTAGAGACCGAGAGCCTCGGCGAAGATGAGAATCAGGATCATACCAGTGAAGAGACGGGGCTGCTGGGCAGTGGCGCGGACACCAGCGTCACCGACGATACCGATGGCCATGCCGGCCGCAAGACCGGAAAGACCGACAGAGAGACCGGAGGCAAGGTGGGCGAAGCCACGGAAGGCAGTGTAGGCGGTGGGGGTGACTGTGGTCGAGTAGAAAATTGGAAAAATGAGCCAATGTGATCAAATGATTGGCCGGAAATGGACGGATACGACGTACCGTTGGTGGCAAGGATGACAGCAATAATGAGACCGTAGATACCGATCACACCAGCCATGACGACGGGAATGATGGACTTCATCACCATGTCGGGCTTGGTAACACCCATGGCAGCCACTCCGACGCCAGACTTGGCGGTACCGTAGGCAGCACCAAGGCCTAAGGAGAGATGCGACATTAGCGGGTGGTCAAGGGGTCGCCATCCGATAACAAATCTCCGTTTGAGTCACCACAAATTCGTCTAATCAACCGCCTCCGACCGATCTTATCGAAGGGGTTGGCCGCTGAATGGGGGTTAAACGTACAAGCGAAGACGAGGGCGGAAGCGCAGCCCATGAAGCCGAAGAAAGCGGCAGCGGCGGGGGTGTTGCCGTCATCGGCGGCCAGGAGGGCGGAAGCGGAGTGGAGGACGTCCATGGCTATCGGTGTGTGGGGGTTGAAGGATTTGAGCTACTAGACCGGTGCGGGCGAGGCTGGCTTCTTGTGCTGCTTGGGCGCGGACGAGAAAACGAGACAGAAAACGCCGCACAGGTGTCGACGCTTGGCCAGGCCAGAGAACTCTACTCCTGTTTCGTCCACCTCCGTGCCATTTACCACCTGCCACGTCATCCGACACCTCAACTTTGGTAAGGGAAGTGCGTCATTTTGAGTTTTTGTAGACAACAGGCGCACTTCCCGCCAGAACTCTCTTCCGCCTTTTCGCCCCTCCGCCTCTTCGCTCGCTTCTCTCCTCTGCCAGAAGGGGGGGTGAGGGTGAGGGTCTTCTTCCTTCTTCCCTTTTCCCCACTACAGCCAGAAAGTGGCCCCACGGCAATCTTTCAGAGCTCTCCCCAACTCCCGTCGTGTTGATGAACTTAGTGTTGTTTTTTCTTTCGCGGGGGCAAATAAATAGTAACATTGAGCCTTGGGTGAGGAGCGCTGAGGAAGACGGTTCGGTGTGAAGAGAGGCACGCTGTCGTTGTTGGCCGGAGCACCGCCGCGGTTGTTTGTTGGCGGCGCCCGCCTGTTGTTCTGTACAAGCGGCGGTGAGAGGTCCTCTTCGTCTCTCTCTTCCAAGATTAGTGGGCCTCCTCCTCGTCCTGTAAGTTGACATGTTCACAACGGGCGCGGGTAAGACCTCAGCTGAGCTTCACTTGAGCTCAAGGAAAGAAAGTGAAGCGAAGGTGGTGCAAGCACCTTTTCAGCGAGCACGTTGAGCCAGTTGGCCAGCTGAGCGAGGGCCTGGGACTTGCCGAACGAGTCCTGCTTGTCGGCAGCCCACTCGCGGAAGGCCTCCTCATCCACAACCTCGGCGTCGTTGAGCACCTGGAACAACCGCTCCAGCAGTCCTGCACACATAGCACGCGTCAAGTCAAGCGTGAGCGTTCGAGATCGAACAGAGAGGCAGGCTGCAACGGTGCCCGAGGGAATAGGTGCGCGAGTGGGCGTACCCTCAGGAAAATTCTGCTCAAAGCAGAAGCGCTGGACCACGGACAGGCAGTCCACCTGCGCCTGGCTATCCGACAAAAATTTCTTCAACAGAGGCGCGTACTGCTCGAACAGCTTGGTCTCCTCCTCCACAACCTGGTTGATGGTTGGTTGGTTGTTAAATCGCGGTCACCAAACACGCGTATTACAGTGACAGGAAAACGTGTGTGTGTGTGTGGGGGGGAGCACCTTGTCGTGCTCGCTGATGGACTTGGTGCGGGCGGCGACAAACTCGAGGAACAGGCGCGTGAGCCGCTGGGCAAACTCCTCGTCGCGCGAGGCCTCCCTGGAGACGTTTTCATCGATCCACTTCAAAATCTTCTCCGCGTCGTCTCCGCTCGCGAGCATCGCCTGCAGCTTGCCGTGAGCCCATGCGACAGGGAAGACCGTGTCCAAGTTCTGCACGCGCGCAGCAAGGACCAACACACAGAAGATACAGAACAGCGTGGTCAGCGTGGTCACCATCGATTCCCAAAGTTTCGCTCAGCCCGGGCTGCATAGGCGTACGTTGACTTGAAGCCACTCCGAGATGCTCGTCGCGTTCCGGCTGCTGGTCTTGAACATGCTGGTGATATCCCAACCGGCCTCCTTGACGAAGTCCCGGGTCTCGCCGATGCTCTGCATTGATCGACCCACGTAACCGTACGTCAGCACGCGCACAATAAGAGAATGTGGTCCGACGCAGCTTCAGTGAAGGCGGGGGCGACGCGAGTCCGTACGGTGTTCTCGATGTAGAAGTTGAAGAGGCCGACCAGCACGGAGATGGCCGATCCGCTCTCCACGAGGGGCTCCAGAGCCGGCACGACGAAGGAGGCGTCGAGGTAGTTGTCCAGGAGGGCGCTGCCCATGAACTGGCCCACCACCTTCGGGGCGAGCGGGGCATCCAGCTTAATGTCATCCAGCTGCTCCAGCACCAGACGCAGACTGCACGCGCACAAACCGCGTCAGCCGGCCGCAAATCGGAACACGCACGAGATGTAAAAAAAGAAAAAGAAAAAGAAAAGAAAAGACGTACCCAGCAACGAACTGAGGGGCGGTGATGGTCGACTTCTTGGTGAAGTGGGTGATGAGCTGAAGGAGCATCTCGCGGACCACTTCCTTCTTCTCGGTCGCCATGACGATGATGGCCTTCACGAGGTGGGGCTGGAAGCCAGTGGCCTCGATGTCGTCCACGCACTGGCGGGCCTCGTCCTCGTCCTGAGTGTCGAGGAACTCCTCCAGCAGCAGCTTGATCGATTTCTGAACAGATTGGGAGGAGAGAGACATGAGCCACATATACGACATGTGACTGTTGAAAAGAAGCGAGCGCGCTAGGAGGCGTACCTCGGTCTCCGGGTCGAGCGGGCCAACGACGGACTCGTCCTCCTTCTCAGCGCGCGACCGCGGGGAAGGCAGAGGCTCAGCCTTCTCGGCTCGGTCGCCGCCGCGGGGCGAGGGCTGCGGCTCTCGTCCCTCCCTCGATCGGCTGCGGTCTCGCGATGCGGGCCTGCCCGCTTGCCTGGACTCGGCCTGCTTGGTGGAGCGGCGGCAAGTTGAGCGTCAGCGCCAGTGCCAGCACTTCATCACTCCGAACCAATCGGAAGATCGCAAACAAAGCAGCGTTCGACGTACCTGGGGCGACTTTTCGGAGATGTCGGAGAGGGCGGCGAAGATGTTGCCCTTGGCCGGGGCCGGCGCGGGGCCGGAGCCCGGGCGGGAGGCAGGGGTGGCGTCCCGCCGGCTATCCTGCGGGCGTTTGCTGACGTCGCGCCAGCCTTTGGCTCCCGTACCGCCCATCGTCGGACCCATGCGCGACTGGTTGGGACCCAGCACCACCTCGCCCGACGACAGCGTCACCGGTGGGCCACGCTCGCTACCACCGCCTCCGCCGCCGCCTCCACCTCCACTCCTGTCACCGCCACCGCCGCGATGACCACCTCTTCCCACCTGCGAATACCCGAGCTCAGGTAAGCGACACACGCAATTGCGTCGTGGCGGTCATGGGTGTGATTTAGGGCGCGACTTACCGTTTCCCATCCTTCGGCATTACCGCGAGGGCCTCCGTGAGGGCCGTGCGAGGGTCCGCCAGCGCCAGCCGGGCGATACGCAGCACCGCGACCGCCTGACATATATCCAAGTAAGCGATGGGGCGAACTAACCAACTCGCCCGACGTGGCTGTGGCTAGATTGGAGGGGGGGGCAGTACCAGCGGGAGCAGGAGCGGGCTTGTGCTGCTGTTGGGGAGCACCACCGCGGCCTCCGGCGCCAGGCTTGGCGGGCTTCTCCGTCACCGACGAGGTCCACCTGTTGGCCCTCAGATCCAGCACGTCCTGCAGTGCGGCGACGTGAATAAAAGAAGGTGCGGTGAGAGGCGAGCGCTATGTGTGGTGGTGGGGGGGAAGTGAGTGGAAGAGAAAGTAGAAGCGGGCCGGTACCAGGAGGAGGAAGCGGATGCGCGAGGGGATGTTGGGGTTCTGGGTGAGGTTCTTCATGCGCTTGAAGTAGGCGTCCATGTAGCCCTTGGCCTTGGGCACGTCGAGCACCTTGCCGATGGTGTTCATGAGCTTGCACAGGGCCTCGAGGTCGGCCTCGACCGGGTTCTTGATGTCGCCCAGCAGTCGGCGGAAGACGCACTCGTGCATGATCTTGTCCGTCAGCATGTGCTCCTTGTACAGCTCACCGATGAACACGATGTCTGCGCGTCACACGCGGGGAAAGAAAAAGAAGAGGGTCAGCAGCTGCGTAGAACCGAAAAAGCAATAACCCGGGTCGTTAACGAGATGCGGGGTGCGCGTACTGCCGATCATGCGTCGCTTCTGCTTCATGTCGGCCTCCTCCTTCTTGAGGGGATCGTTATCCACCGTCTCGTCGTGCGGCTTGTGCTCGAAGGCCTCCTGGCAGCGGTTCAGCAGAATTCGCTTGAAGGTCTGCGCTCGTGGCGGAGAATGAACGTCAGAACGTTAGTCTCGAGGCGTTGACCCCATGCGAACGGGCAGTGGTTGCCGAAGGGGTTGGAGGGTGTTGGTACCTGAGGCTTGCCCTCCTTGTTGGTCTCAAAGGTGGGGCAGTTCTTCTCGAGCACGCGGCACAGCTCGGCGTACATGGTACTGAAGCCGGGCTCGGCAAGCGCCTTGTCGAAGATGATGTTGATGATCTCCCTCAAAATTTCCACGTCCGTGGCCTTGGACTTGAGCAGATCCACCATCTGCTGACTGAGCGGTCCGAACTTGTCACCCGTAAGCTTGTTGAGGATGCTGCAGCGCCCCAAGAAAGCCACCCACACCACTTCGTCAGCCACACAGCACACGAGCTAAAAAGAAAGAATTCTTTCTCACAGCTGCGGGGATGTATGTATGTCGTACCTTCGAACTTTACCGTAGATCTCTTCGTTGTCGTCGCCTCTGCGACGGCTTGGCTTCCACACAGACGGATTGTCGGTCATGGGGGCGACCGGCTCCGGCGGCTGTGAGAATAAAGAAGAAATAAATAGGGGGGAGGGGAAGCGTGGTGAGTTAACGTTACACAGGCATCAGGAGCACCCCGAGGCGGTGGGAGGAGGCGTGGGCGACGTACCGGCATGATGCCAGGGGGCGGGGTCTCTCGGCCGGGGATCTTCTTGGGACCGCGGCGGATGGGACCGCCTGGCGGGCCGCCACCACGACCACCGGGACCACGGGCGATGGGAGCAGCCAGCCCGGGGGGTGCGCCGAACTTGCCGGGCACGGGAGCGAACGGCATGCCGGGCATACCAGGGCCGCCACGACCACCGCGTCCGGAGAACTGCTGCTGGGCGCCACGCGACCACTCGCCGCTGCTGCCCATGCCGCCTCCGCGGCCACCCTTGCCTCCGCGGCCTCCGCCGCCGCCGCCGCCACCCTTGCCTTTGTCCTCGTTGCCCAGGATCACCTCCACCGACGGCAGGCCCTCGGGGCGCTCGCGGCAGTACTAAATACAATGCACGGAGAGGTACGTTAGCCAACGACGATGAAAAAGATACGGTGCAAGGGGAAGAGAGGGGGGGGGCAATACGGTCTGGAACTTGAGGAGGAAGTCACGGTCGTAGGTCCTCTTGGTGCCGGACCCGTTCCAGGAGGCGTCAGCCTGCGGGTTGATCGTCGGCCTGAACGATCCCGGCTGGAAAAAAGGAACAAAGGTCATGACTCTCCGTCGGTGGGAGGAACGGGCAATCGTGGCGGTGGCAGAACACGTACAGCGTTGGAGCCGGCGTAGGTCGGACGCAGGGAGATATCCTTCTGCAGCACCAGGTCTTCCTTCTCCGCCTTGACCTCCCAGTCATCATCGTCCTGCTTTTGAACAAAAGCGGGAAAAAAGCAGAGTCAGCACGAGGAGCAAAGCGGCTCCAGCGGACGAGGCGTACCTCGGTCTCGGCAGCCTTTTCTTCGGCCTGGGGCTCCGCCTCGTCCTTTTTGGCGGGCTCCTCGGCCTCCTTCTTCTCCTGGGGCTGGTCCTCCTTCTTGTCGGTGCTCGAAGCGACGACTGCCGCCTTCGACTCGCCTTCGTCGCCCTTCTTCGAAGAGGTGGCCTTGCGCGATCCAGACTTGGTCTTCTTGTTGTCAGCCGACGCCTTCTTGCCGCCGTCCTCGGTCGCAGCAGCGGGCTTCTGTTTGACGGTCTTGCTGGGCTCCTCAGTGGCCTTCTCGGAAGTGGGCGCGGCGGCCTCCTCCTCCTTGGTGGTGGGCTCCGCTTCCTTGGCAGGCTGGGGCTCCTCCTTGGCAGGCTGTTCGGCGGCTTCGGCGGCGACCTTCTTTTCCTCCTCCGTCTTGTCCTTCTCCTGAGCAACGGGCTCGGCCTTGACTTCCTCGGCCTTGGCCTCGTCCTTCGTAGGCTGGACCTCGGCAGGCTTCGCTTCAACCTCCGCGTCGGTCTTCTTCTCGGGCTGCTTCTCCTCTTCCTTCGTGGCCGCCTCGGGGAGAGGGCTGGCGCCCTCCTTCTCCTTCTCTTCTTCCTTCTCCTCCTTTTTGTCCGCTTCCTTCACGGGCGCGGCGTCGGTGACGGCGGCAGTCTGGTCCTTCGCAGGTTCCTCCGCGGTGGCCTTAGCCTGCTCGTCTGCTGCGGCGGCGGCACGCATCTGAGGCGGCGTGGTGATCACGACTGCACCGGGAGTGGGCATGAGTGGCTGCAGCGCCGAAGAAGAAGCCAAAAGAAAGAAAGAACAGGGAGAAGACGACGGTGAGATGGACGTACTGGGAGAACTGGAAGGCTTGTCGATGATGGGGATGGCAGCGCTACGCCCGGGCGCGTAGGGATGGTTGGGCGCGAACTGCTCGGAGTCGCTGAAGTCGGCAGCGCCCATGTCGGGCTTGAAGGGCGGCGCCTGACGCGAGGGCGACGAGCCTCCGGGGGCGTAGGGGTGACCCATGATGCCGCCGGTCGGTCGCAGGCCCGAGCTCGGGGGCGAGTGCTGGTAGGGCGAGGTGCCGGCCGAGCCCGAGGATTCACCGGGCAAGTCGTCCTTGGGAGGCGAGGTGTTCACCTCTTGGCCCGTCTGAGGGTCGATAATGGCGATACGGCTGCTGCGGCGCTTCTGTTGAGGGATCTGAATGGGCATCGAATGCGGGGGCGGCATCTGTTGCATTCCAGGGCCACGCGGCATGTAGGGACCGCGGCCAGGCACGAATGGCGGCAATCGATGTCCCGGCACGTAGCCGGAGGGGGGACCCATCGGCTGTTGGGGACCCATCTGAGGGCCGCCCACCTGGCCCGCATGAGGAGGAGGGCCGCCCATACCGCCCTGGGGCGGGCCGCCCTGAGGGCCGGGGGGCACTTGAGTTCGGCCATGCGTGGGGGGCTGGTAGATGGCACCGCGCGGAGGGGGAACGCCACCCTGGCCAGGTGGCGCGTAGGGATGCGTTGGACTCACTCCAGGCTGCACGCCAGGAGGAGGCTGCGGGTAGTAGGGCGCACCAGGAGGGGGCTGTAAATCGCGATTGATGAGAATTGGCCAATTTTCGCGTAGCGAGAGGGAGATGGAACGAGCAAATGAGCGATTCACTACGTACATAGTAAGGAGCGCCTGGGAAGGCAGCAGGGTTGGGCGTGGCTCTGGCTGGAATAAATATGGCGGCTTGCTTCTGCTCCTTGAGATTGGGTGGAGCGGATTGCGTGCGGGGCGGGATTCCACGGCCGCGACCTCCTGCAGGCGGAGGAGCGCCGGCGCCGTTTGTGAACCCGACGAAGGGAGGAGCGGGACCCTGGCCGCCGCTGGCCGCCACGGGCGGTCCTGAGTAGCGAAGCAGGATCGATTAGCAAATCAATTAAAACAATGAAAAAAACAATTAAAATAAAAATATAAAATCAACATCTACACATGCAGGGTCACGTGCGGAATGGGTGGTGGGATGCACGCACGAGGCTGGGGAGCGTGTGGTGAGGGCGCTTGGATGGCAGCAGCGTTGCCTTCGGCGGCGGCGCCACCTGGCTGCGCGGGTGTGGGCTGGGCGCTGGCTGAAGCAGTAGTGGTGGGAGTGGGCAGCTGCTGTGCGCCCGCGCCAGCTGGCGCAGGTTGCGGCACCGCGTTGCTTGTGGCGGGCGTGACCTTGGGCACGTAGCTCTGCGTCTGCTGCTTGGGCGCTGCGCCATCCTTACCATTTTGGGCTGGAGCTGCGCCGCCAGCTGGGCCAGCAGCAGGAGGTCCTGCATCGGTAAGCACATTTTGATCTACATGTGAGCTACGGAAGTGAGAATCGATAGGTGCAGCTAACGTCGACGTACTGGTAGATTTGCTGCCCTGTTGAGCGCCGTTGCCGCTTCCTGGCGGGTTCTGACGCCTGCACAAGCGATGGAAACGGTGGTGTTAGAGATTGATAGATAGATCGAAGATGGATCAAAATGTCAATCTATGTTTCGATGAAAGCTGGAATGTTGAGCAAGAGAGGAGCAAGTGCGAAACCCAGCAGCTCCCCTTGTGATCCATGCGTGGAAGACGTACGTCTTCTGCTGCTGTTTGTTCAAGCTCTGGCCTCGTCCGCCGCCACCTCCACGGCCGCGACCTCCTTTGCCGCCTCGGCTCACAAACTGCGCTGCATCTGGAGTTGGTGCTGTGCTGGTTGATGGTTTTCCCTGATGGGACATGGATCTCTGTTCAATTATGAGAAATTGCAACAGGAGGAAGGTCTCTTGGTCCTCCCAGCTAATCTCGAGTAGCTGAACGCAGAGGCCACGAACAAGAGAAACACTCGAGAAAAAAGCCAGACGCCCAACATTCTCCGCCTTTTTTCCTCGATTACTCTTTTCTTTTGAATTTCTTCTCGCACCACGAAACTTCACTGACAAAACCGCCTCCTTAAAGCACACTACATTCGCCCAGCCAGCTTGGTGTTGTCACTTGCAACAACTCTGTACACACACCGGCCGACAGCGCACCTCTTGGCGACACCTCACGGACCGCGCAAAAGCGCCTGCAGACCCTCCAGGATCTGGCTTCGCGTCTGGCCCAGCTGCGTGGTCTGCGGTGGTGGCTGCGGCTGCATCGGGCCTGCCTGTTGCTGCTGGAGTGGTGGGCCGCCGTAGTGCTGCTGCTGATGGGGAACCTCTCCGGATGGCGGCTGCTGTGGTGGTGCATACTGCTGCTGCTGCTGAGGGAAAAAGCTGGTGAACTGCTGTTGTTGATGCTGTGGCTGTTGTAGCTGCTGATCGGGCAGGAACTGGGGTGGTGGCTGCTGTTGCTGTGAAGGAGGTTGGGGCTGATGATACTGCGGGGACGGCGGCGGGTGATAGAAGGGTGGTGGCTGCTGTTGCTGCTGCTGCTGGTGGTAGGGCTGTTCCGGTTGCTGAGGTTGATACTGCGGCGGCGGTGAAGGCTGCAGCGGAGGCAGGAGGAAAATTTGCTGCTGCTGCTGCGGCGGCGCGCCGAACGAGGAGGGCGGAGGAGAGGGGCTGAAGGCCGACTGAGGCGGGCTGGGGAGCTGCTGTTGCTGTTGTTGTTGTGCCATTCGCTCGCCGACTGCCTTCTGCAGGGCCTGCTGGAGGGCTTGCAGGGCGGAGGCTGGCTGCGTAGCGGGCGGGGAGGGACCCATCGGCTGCGGCACGTAGAGCTGCTGCTGGGGTGGTGGGCCGCCGTAGTGCTGCTGCTGCACGGGCATGGGCATGGACGGCGGCGGGGAGTAGATGGGCTGTGGCGGCAGTTGCTGTTGGTGGGGCGTGGGCGGCGCCCCGGCCGCCCACTGATCGGGAGGCGGCAACTGGTGAACAAGCGGAGGTTGCGGCTGAGACTGGGGCTGCTGCGGTTGTGCATTGGGCGCCTCTCCCTGGTCGTAGAAAAACACGTGAGCACAGGGCCGAGGCACCAGGTTGGAGGTGCTATGCCGGACCCATGTACCTCGAGCTGTTTGAGTTCCATTTCGGCGCAGGTCTTGAGGTGGCGGGCCATGTGCAGCTGGCGCCCGGGCATGAACCACATGCCGCACAGGGGGCATCGCTTGCAGCCCTCCTTGATCCGGCGCAGCTTGAAGGCGATCCCGGGATAGGCGTCGCGCCCCTCGGCGTGCCCCGGTCTGCGAGGAGATTGCACCGTGTACGATGATGAGAACCACGAAAAGCGCGGGCCGCGCATTCAACGAAAGTTTCGGCCGAAGAGCACGCCATTGATTCAACGTGCGTACCTGCCCTCGTCGTCGTCATCGTCGTCCGCCTCTTCGGCCCCGTTCTCCCTCCCGGCGGCGTCCTTCTCGTCCTTTGGCGGTTTGTAGTCGGCGATGCATTGTTGCAATTTCTGCGGCAGCGGCGAGCCAAGGTGAGTACACTCGCACAGCTCTAAGCCAAAGTCCGAGCGTACCTCGGCAAGGGGCTTGTAGTGACTGTTGAGCTCCGCCAGCATGCCGACGGGCTTCCAGGCGATCTCTTCGATTTCGTTTCGCAGCTGCGGCGCGAAAGGTGTGTCTCGCGGCACATTGGGAATGATGAAGAAGACGGCCTTGCGCTTCCCCACATTCCATTCAATGAGCTGTGCGTGTCGTGCCGTTGGTCGTCAGTAAAGCGAAATGGCGCGTAGCTCGAGCCATCTAGGGAGTGGGTACCAGCTTCTCGTCGATGCGGTCGGTAAGGTCTATGCCGAGCTCTTCGAAGACCTCCCTGATCGCACACTCCACGGCGGTTTCCTTTTCCATATCGAGCGCGGGACCCGCGGCCTCCTCCGCTTCGCCCGGGCCCTACAGACGACGAAAGCGACATCATTGAGTAAGACGTGACACGTGGTGACCATTGGCGCGCAGCTTGACTTGCTTCGCTCTCCTGCGTACCTCCTTCTGGCGTGCCTTGGGCACGAACTTGGCTTTGCCCTTGGGGAAGCCCCAGATGCTCGTGCCGATGCCGCGCACCATCACGCACTATGTGGCCAAGCACCGATGACGTTCAGCGCGTGTTGCGAGTGCCGTGCGGTGTGTGTGTGTGTGTGCGCGTGTGTGTGTGCTCAAAAAACGCGTGGAGGCGTGCAAAGGGACGGTGGGTGCCTTCTTGAGCGTGGAGTCGAGGAGGATGGCGCCGTAGCTGTTGAGCGTGCGCTTGTACTTGAGGTACCAGTCGGCCATGTCCCGCGGCGAAGAGCGAAAGTTGCAGAAGGGCGGCTGCTCTGCCCGGCCTGCCCCAAAGACTGACCACCGCCAGAGAAGCGCGTCAGCGGCACGCGCGACTGGAGGAAGGAGGAAGGAGAGAAGGAGTGTGTACACAGCTCCACGAACTGCTTGAAGGTCACTGCAGGGAAGACGTCTGGATTCTCGGCAGCGTAGAGATCTTTGTAGTCCCAGAAGGCTTCTTCGAGGGTGGTGCACAACTGCTCCATGTTGCTGCACTTTGCTGAGCTGAAATGCTTCCTGTGGCAAGAGTGAGAAGCACGTCGGTGGCACACGAGCAGGAGCAGCAAGAAGAGGACCCCTCCTTCCGGGTGCGAGGGCGGGCAGGATGGAAAAGACAAATGTTACCCCGCGATTTCATCCAAAACATCTTGGACCTCAAGGTTGAACGGGCCTGTCGCCGGATCGCCCATTAACTGTTGAAACCCGCTGTGGCCCATATGCTGCCCGTTCCCGTACGGGTGGGCGTGTTCGGGATGGTAGGACGTCTTCCTTTTCATTATTTCCTCTACTCGCTTCTTTGCTCTTAATTAATCCAGGGATGTGGGATGACTGATTTGTGTGAGAATAAGAGGGCAAAATTTGGTCCAAGGCCGTGGCGCTGCAGCCCCCCCAGAGATTGAACAGAGCTGCGAGAGAGATGAGAAAATGAACACAACAGAAAGGTGCTCGGCCTTCACGTGTGCAAATCATTTACGGTCGACTCTGCATAGTTGTGCGTTCTCCGAAATCAGAACGAAATAGCTGTCGGCTAAGAGGGAAGGTGCGTTGCGATATCCTGGGTGTTGGTTGCGCCAGCAGCTGTCTTCGCTCTTCTTCCTGTGCTCTCTCACGCCCTGCAATCATCCTGCGCCTCAATCAAAACATCTCGAGCAGCTTTGATTTAGAACGAAGCCACGCTTGGTTACTGCAGCGCAGAGTTATTTCGCGCGGCTCCCTGCTCCATCTTGAAAAGACAAGAAAGTACAACATCGCATAGAAGTAGAAGAGATGGGAAACACCAAGTCGAAGAAGCCGGTGAAGGCCGCCGATAGGAGTCCTGTGAAGGCTGAGCTTTCGCAACCTGCCAAGGACTCGCCAAGGCAGGCTCCTCCCCAAAATCCGAGTGCAAAGCCCTCTACGCCATCGTCATCGAAGTCAGTGGGGTACATTCTCTCATCACATGGAGTAGTACGATTTGTCCTATCTTGCCAATGGCTCATCTCTCTTCAACCTGCCTTTACAACAAAGAACCAAAGCATCGCAGAAGGAGGATGGGCAGGCCTTCTCGGCGAAGCGGTTAGAGGAGGTGTTCAACAAGTACAAGGAAGAAGGAGAAGATGAGCCCATGATCGGCACCACGGGAATGGAGAAGTTTTGCCAGGATCTAGAGATCGATCCCGAAGATGTACGATTCTTGCTCCATGATTTCTCCGCAACCCCTCTCATCTCCCCTCCACCTCCATTCAGGTCATTACTCTCGTAATCGCCTACCATCTCAAGGCTCAACAGATGGGCTGCTTCACAAAGGAAGAGTTCATGAAAGGATTTGAAGCGCTTGGGTACCCCCCTCCCCCTTTTGAGTGCGTACGCACACCGCTGCTCTGCCTTATGATGCATCCCCTTGTCTGGACAGGCTCGACACTCTGGACAAAATCAAGAAGCACATGCCCAAATTCCGCGCCGAGCTGGACGATGCCGTCACCTTCAAGAATATCTATCGTTTCACATTCGATTTTTCCAAGGAGCCGCAGCAAAAGTGTATAGGTAAGTGCTACTCACACAACCCAAACTCCATACAACAAAAGATGCTGCGTGCTGATGCCACGGGTGCTGCTACCACCGCCAGCCTTCTCTTGCTGATCGTTACCGTCACCGGGTGTGCAGATATCGAGATCGCGCAGGTCCTTATCGGCCTGCTGCTCGTTGACCGCCATGCGCTGGCCAGCTCCTTCCTCGAGTTCCTAAAGCAACAGGACTCGTACAAGGGCTTGAATGTGGACCAGTGGACAAGTCTGCTCGAGTTCTGTAAAACGATTGACGTCAATTTTGGCAACTACGACGAAAACGGCGCCTGTACGTATCCTCTCCTCCTCTTCTTTCCCCTTCATCCGCTCATGTTCATCGCTCTTCTTCCTCTTCGCAGGGCCATGCGTCTTGGACGAGTGGGTGACGTGGGCGAAGGAGAAGAAGGAGGGGGAGGAGGGAGCCGACTCATAACCCAGCAAGCCACACCTCCGGCACCTGCGCCCTCTTTCCACTCAGCCGATCCTTGTACGCGGGCTCTGTGGCCTCTTCTCCCTATTTGTGTGAATATCTCTTCTATCCCCCTTCTCTCTTCATCATCTTCGAAGCCACCGACCGCCGCACCTGTTAGCGTTCTTTGCTGTAAAAATGCTCTTACTCCCCCGAAGTAGACCACGCTCAAGCTACCACGGTGTTGGCACCTTCTCCATCTTCGTCTCTGAGAGGGTCTCGCCACTCTTTGCCGCAGCTGACCACAAATAAGTGAGAAATCAGGAATTTGGCCATTGGCCGTCAGCCTGCGCTATCTTCGCCGTCGTGGAGGGCAACACAAGAAGACTGGCCAGTCCGGCTCAGCTCATCCAGTACACTTGCCCTCCGGAGATTCGAAGGATCGGCCGCACGAAAGACGAAGAGGGGAGGGCTGGGCGCCTCCGGAAGCGAATCCAACCATGAATCTGCGCACGCTGGTTTCGCAGAACAAAAAGAGGTACCAGATGCACTCATTCGACCTCGACCTCACTTACATCACCGACAAGGTCGTCGCAATGGTATGCCCCCCCCTCCCCTTGCGTCGTTTTCTCTTCTCATCCTTTCGCTTTCTTTATTTTTTGCCTATTTAGTTATTTTTAATTAATGTATTTTTTGTTTACAGGGCTTCCCCTCGGAGAGTCTGGAGTCGGTCTATCGCAACCCCATGAGCGAAGTGCAAAGGTACTGACTGATATTTAGAGTCAGTATATTATTTTGTCGTTTCTATTTATTTATTTATTGGGCCTTTCTTTTCAGGTTCTTCGAGACATTCCACCACGATCACTACATGGTCTACAACCTCTGCTCCGAGCGGGACTACAAGGAAGAAAAGTTCCACGGCCGCGGTGCGTGATCACTCCTTCTCTCCATGCCAGTCATTGCCTGTGATCAATCTCATTCACTTCTACGTCTATACTCTATATGTCACTGCGTAGTGGAGCGGTATCCGTTCGATGACCACAACTGCCCCACCATCGAGCTCATCGAAAACTTTTGCGACTCTGTGGTGCGGCCTCCTTGTCGCCCTTCCCACAGTTCCAAGTGGTCCATTGTGTACCCGGCCAGGCGCCTCACACTTCATGTCGCTGGCTGGCACGACCTATGCACGACAGGAGGTGTGGCTGCACTCGCACCGATCCAACGTGGCCGCCGTGCACTGCAAGGCCGGCAAGGTGCTCTCACCCACTCACTCACGATGACCACCGCACACGACACACCGCCGCACACGCACGTATTTGACCAGTGACACTAGCGTTGCACTAACGCATGTTCGTTGTGTGTGTGTGTGTGTGAGTGTGTGTGTGTGTGTGAGAGTGTGTGTGTGTGTGTGTGTGGGAACGCCAGGGGCGCACGGGGCTTATGATCACGTGCTGGATGCTGTACTCCGGGCTGTGCGAGACCGCACAGGAGGCCCTCGAGTTCTACGCCTTCATCCGCTGCATGGACCAGAAGGGGGTACACCCACCCGAGCGCGTTAGGCACACGCACGAGGCTAACTAACGCGTGTCATGTGTCGTGCGTGTCGTGTGTGTTGCTCGTGTTTGCCGTGTGCTGTGTGTGCGGTGGGGTCCCCAGGTGACAATTCCCAGCCAGATACGCTTCGTGGAGTACATCGAGCGACTGAAGATCTACGGGCCGGTGCCGCACGTCTCCCTCGCGCTCCGCTCCCTCATCATCCACACGGTGCCCAAGGCCCTCATCTCCAAAATCCGCCACCACTGTACACCACCCACCCTATACCCCAACCCTTGGCTGGTCGGCCTTGCCCTGCCCAGCTGACCGCTGATGGTCGGTCGCGTGTGCGTGTGCGTGTGCGTGTGCGGTGGTGGGCAGCGTTGGGATTCCGGGTCCTGGTCTTGCTGCACGGCGAAAAAGAGATGCGCGAAATCTTCAGCGCAGATGCCATGGTACTCTCACGCACGCAATCGCACGCGCACACGAGAGCTAACGATTTGCTCAACCCATGCGTGTTGTGTGTCTACATATTTTCTGTAGCAAAAGACGGTGGTGGAGGTGAAGGGGGAGACGCGTGAGGCTCTCATCTTCCAGTTCCCCGCCCACGTCCTCATCACGGGCTCCGTCAAAGTACCCTCCTCCCCACCTCTCTGTTGCCGCCGCTCTCCAATTTCTCACAACGCCGTCCAACCCTGCACGGTCGTGTGGTGCGTGTGCGGTGGTGCGTGTGCGCTTGTGTCGTGTGTGTGGTGTGTGTGTCGTGTGTGTGTCGTGGTCGTCAGATGGAGTTCTTCTACCGGGATATCCTGGGCCGACCTGTACGCCCCCATCAATACCGAGTTGCGCGTTAAGGAATGGGTGGCCAACCAATCACTGACGTCGACACGCGTGGGTGGGTGCGGTGCAGGTGACGCTGTTCCGGTTTTGGTTCCACTGCTCGTTCGTCGGATCGTCGAACCAGCTCCTCCTCAAGAAGTCCCAGATCGACGGCGCCCACAAGGACCACAAGAACCACAAATTCGAACCCGCCTTCAGGTACGCCATTTCCTTGTTTCGTTTTAATTTATTTTAGTTTAAAAATAATAAATTAATAAATAAAAATCCGCACAACCCTCCACCGCCGCGTGTGTGTTGTGTGAATGTCGGCAGAGTGTTGGTCGAGTTCGGAGATGTGGCGCCGGGCGTGCAAATGGAGGGCGTGCCGCCCAACCACAACGACCTCCCGCTCGGACACCTCGTCCACCACTACAACCGAGTACACTTTCCTTTTTGCTCTTATTTTTATTTTCCTTTCCTTTTATGGCATCACATGGCCACCACCTGGTCGACAACCGCGTGGTGATTGGGGGGGGGGAATATGGGGCTTGAACATGTGTTTTTTTCCACACAGGAGGGGCTGCGGATGCGAGGCGCCGTGGCCCGGATGACGGGCTCGCAGCGGCTCTTCGCCCACAAGCTGCGGCTTCTCCGCCACAAGGCCCTCTACCAGGTACCCCCACCCCCCAACCATTTTAGTAAAATGACACGCGCCTGATGCCCGCGCGTGTTGTGTGCGTGTGTCATGTGCGTGTGTGCGTGTGTGTGTTTTGTTTGTGTCGTGTGTCGTGTATTGTGTGATGATTGCAGATCGGGGTGCTGGAGGTGACGCTGGAGAAGGACCTGAAGGCGCTGATGGAGGTGACGGACCAGGAGGTGGCGGCCAATCCGAAGAGGGCGCAGCAGGTGGCGGTCTCGGGTCCGCTGCTGGCCCGGATCCGGGACTACATGCGGGACATGCCGCCCTGCAAGGCCTACGCCTCCCCCTTCGCCCCCGCCGCCCACCTCGACAACTCCTGCCGCTCCCTCGTCCGCCCCCTCATCAAAGGTATTTTCTCTCTTAACACTTTTATACTTTTTTTATTATTATTGAACTAACAAACAGCAAATAACAAAGCGTGTAGTAAAAAAATCGGTGCATATTTATTTTTATTTGTTTGATGTTGTATTTTTATTTTTATTTTTTTGCAATGTTGTACAAAATGTTGAGACTCACGTTGTTGATGGCGTGGGTGGTGTGTAGATGGGGAGGAGATATTGTCGAAGCTGCTCAAGTTGAAGATCGTGACGCAGGCGGCGACCGACATGGAGGGCCAGCTGGGCCTCTTCCTCCGCTACATCAACGGACTCGCCAAGGTTTGCCCCCTTCTCCATCCCTCCTCCCCTCCGTGTTTTCCATTCGTATTTACACGCCGCCTCGTGGTTGGGGGGTCGCCCCACGACACGACACGACACGACACGCATGCAGTGGTACGACATGGGGACGGAAGAGCTTCACGGCAAGCGGCGGCAGGACGACCTCGAGCGCGACCTCGATGTCCTCCTCTACACCAAGCTCTCCTCTTCGTCGTCGTCGTCGTATGCTGCTTCCGCGTCCGCCGCGTCGTCGTTGTCGTCCGTCGTGTCCCCCATCAACTCGCCGCCCACCTCGCCGCGCCTCCACAAGCCCTCGTCATCGCCGCGGCCACCACACCACTCCGCTGCAGCCCCCGCCCCGACGCGTTCCTGGGTTCCCGCGGTACTGCCGCCGCTCGCCCAGAGACCGAGAGGCCGAGCCCTGACGCGCGTGTGCGTGTGCGTGTCGTTTCATGTACTCAGGACGCATGCGAGGGGAAGGACCTGGAGCGCGTGCGGGCAGCCGTGGAGGACATCCGACACGCCACGCGCGCCGCCAGCCTCTCCCCCGACGCCCGTCGCGCCCGCGCCATCCGTGGTTCGTCGCCCTCCTCATCCTCTCACATCATCATCATCATCTTCTTCTTTTCATCATAACGCGTGTGCGTGCGGTGGTGCGTGTTGTGTGTCGTGCGTGCGTGTGCGGTGGTGCGCAGCATCGATGACCGAGAAGAAGCGTACGGTGGCCCCGACAGCGGTGTGGACGGGCTACGCGACCATGCGGCCCTCGCTCGGTACGCGAGGAGGCGCCACCAACGCCACCACCAACGGCGCTGAACGATCAAATGAGAACGGCGGGGGCGGCGCCAACGGGCCGTCAATCGGGCGAAAGCCGCCGAAGCCCGACAAGCCCCTCCCCGCCACCCCGCCCTCCCCCCGCGACGAGCCCGAGGTCGACGTGGCGGTGACGTCATCATCATCGTCGTGCCACGTCAGCAAAGGCTGCGTCGACGAGGCGGCGGCACGTGCGGGCGGAGCCTCGTCGAAGCGGCGGAACGTGCGGGCGTTGGACGTGCGGAGCGCGGCTGAGGGCGACGTGAAGGGCGCCTCGCTGGCCGCCTTCCTCATCCGCTCGCCGCCGACGGCCCGGCTGAGCGGCCTGCAGCTCGGCTCGAGCCGCTCGACCCGCTGCTCGCGCACCCTCGCCTCCTCGCCGTCCTCCTCCTCCGCGCCCAACGCCAAACTGCTCGCCTCGGCGTATGTAGCTACTACCGCGCGTGTCGTGTGTGTGTGTGTGTGTGGGTGGGTGTGTGTGTGTGTGGTGCGTGTGTCGTGTGCGGTGGTGCGCGTGCGCGTGCGCAAGCGGCTGACGGGCGTGTGCACAGGGACGCTCCCTTGGTGAAGGCGTCGTCATCGGGCGCGACATCGCTGCGGGTGTGTTCGCCCATGTGGTCGCGGCGGCGGTCGGTGACCATCAACCACCTGCCCGGCGGCGGCGGTGAAGCGGACACCGGTGACTGGACGGTGGCGACGGGCGACGACGACGGGCGGAGGCCCCGGAGCAAGGAGGAGGGCGAGGGGCTCCGATGTCAGATCGTCATCGGCTCCAAGAAGGAGCACACGACGAGCCAGACGACAACGAAGAAGAAGAAGAGCCTTGACGGTGATGATGAAGCGGAGGAAGACGATGATGATGAAGCGGATGAAGACAAGGAGGAAGAGGAGGAGAGGCGCGGGAGCGTGTACGCGCGGTTCACGATGATCTCGCAGACCATCGAGCGGGTGGCCCACCTCGTGGCGGCCATGCAGGACCAGCTCGCCCTCTGCGAGGCCATGATGGAGGACCTCCTCCCCTCGTCCGCCTCTTCGCCGTCGTCACCTTCACCATCGTCAACATCGTCATCAGCCGCTTCATCTTCTTCATCGTCATCTTCATCATCGTCATCAACGTCTTCGCCGCCGTGGCGCGCGCAGGTGCGATCGCTGCCACAGCACGAGAAGGTGGCATTCCTGCGGCGCATACGATCCGTCAACGCCATCCTCTACAGCGCGGCCTCGACCCTGGGCAGCGTGGCCGACACCGACCACGACCAGGACGGCGGCGGCGCAGGTGCGTGGCGACGGAGCGGGGCGTGGATCAGCGTTGGCGCCGGCAGCGACGGACGGGCCGAGGAGGAGCGCGAGCTGCTTGGGCGACGGCAGGCGGCGCTCGGGCTGGTGGCGAGCATGCGCGCCCGGCTGACCACCTTCAAGCAGCGCCTCGAGGACGGCCTCGTCGACGACGCCGAGCTCACCACCGAGGCCAACCGCATCGGCTTCGTCGTCGAATACCTCGCCCGCTCCCTCCGCCAGCCTCCTCCTTCGTAAGGAAAAGAACGAATCAAGAAACGTTTTCATTTCCTAAAGCTGCCTCTTGGCACTTGCGCTTAGCTGAAGCTTAGAGGCTGGCGGCGATGTTGGCGTCGGAGAGGGCGGTGACGGCGGGCAGCTCCTGGCCCTCGAGGAGCATGAGGGAGACGCCGCCGCCGGTGGAGACGTGGCTGACCTTGTCCATGGCGCCCTGCTGCTCGACCAGGGTGGCGGTGTCGCCGCCGCCGATGACGCTGGTGGCGCCGTTCTTGGTGGCCTCGACCACGGCGGAGAGGAGGTCCTTGGAGCCCTCGGCGAACGAGGGGAACTCGAAGACGCCGACGGGTCCGTTCCAGACGATGGTCTTGGCCCGGAGTACGACCTCACGGAAGAGCGCGCGGGACTTGGGGCCGACGTCGAGGCCCTGCCAGCCCTCGGGGATGCCCTCGTCGTCGGTGGCCTGGCCCACCTGGGCGTCCTTGCTGAACTTGTCGGCCGTGACGTAGTCGACGGGGAAGTGGAGCTTGACGCCGTTCTTCTCGGCCTTGGCGACGATGTCCTTCACGATCTTGGCGCCGCCCTCGTCGAAGATGGACTTGCCAATCTCGACGTTGTAGACCACCTTCTTGAAGGTGTAGGCCATGCCGCCGCCGATGATCATCTCGTCGACCTTGTCGAGCAGGTTGTTGATCAGGTGGATCTTGTCGCTCACCTTAGCACTGCGCGCGCGTTCCACACATGATACGATTAGACACGTGTCATCGTGCGGCGTGTGCGTGTGCGGTGGTGAGTTGTGCGCGTGTTGTGTTTACCCGCCGAGGATGGAGAGGAAGGGGCGCTCGGGCTTCTCGAGAATCTCGGCGAAGTGCTTGAGCTCCTTGTTGACGAGGAAGCCGGCAGCGCGGGGCAGGTCGACGCCCACCATCGAGCTGTGGGGGCGGTGGCAAGTGCCGAAGGCGTCGTTGATGTACACGTCGCCGAGCTTGGTGAGCGACTTCCTGAACTCCTCGACCTTGGCCGGGTCGGCCTTGACCTTCTTGCCCTCCTCGTCCACGCCAGAGCCCTCTTCCTCGATGTGGAAGCGGAGGTTCTCCAGCAGGATGACCTCACCTGTGGTGCACCACGTAGCACAAGAAGCGAGTAGCGCGTAGCGCATGAGATCCCGAGGTGCATGCTTCCTGTAGATGCTTTGATGGATGGATGGATGAAGAGGAGACGTACCGGGCTTGATGTTGGCGCAAGCCTCCTCGACCTCGGGACCCACGCAGTCATCCAGGAACTTGACGTCCCTGGCAATGCACCAAAATGAGAGCGAGTCAGATGATTAATCGCTCTACAATGAGATTCTACACTAGCTGGGGAGCTGCACCTCTTGAGGAACTTGCTGAGAGCCTCGGCCACGGGGCGGAGTGAGAACTCCTTCTTGGGCAGGCCGTCAGGACGACCGAGGTGGCTCATCAGGACGACGCTGGCGCCGTGGTCGAGAGCGTAGTTGATGGTGGGCAGTGCGGCCTCAATGCGCTGCGTGTTGCTGATCTTACCCTCATCGAAGGGGACGTTGAAATCAACCCTAGAGCGAAGCGTAGCGAGTCAATCATACAAATCTCTAAAGTGTAGTGAGGCTACCTCTGCGATTTGGGCTGAATTGGTACCTGATGAGAGCGCGCTTGCCCTCGAGCTTGAGCTGATCGATGCTGAGTTTGCCCATGTCGCTGTGAGTGTGGATGGGTAGAGATGATTGCGCGTTGTACTGGCGAACGCAGGCACACGAAGAATTACCACTCAAGAATTCCCACCAAAATCGGGGCAGCAAATTTTGTTCTTCTCCTTCGCTCCTCCACGACATTTCTTCCCTGTTTCACTCAATGTGTGTCGCAGAGGGGTTGGACAAGGCAAGTTCTAATGCCAGTGACACTGTGAAGTTAGCTCAAAAACCAGGGAAAAGGCTAATGCTGTGATCCTACATATCAGAAAAACTGTATGATGCCATTTCTATATGCCTTGATTTCATATTTGAGGCTTTATATTTGTAAACTACATTGTCAGTCCATTCACCCATGTTTGATCTAGCCACAGGTTCTTTGTTGGCACACCATAGATTGGCTTGTCAGCAATTCCCCTCCTGATGAACACCTGGAAATTGGCAGCAATCAATTCTACTGAAGGACAGAGCCACAAGATGTGCCAAAGCCTGTCAAGAAAATCATGAAAAGAAGGAGTTGAGAAATCTGCAGAGAAATATGTGGACTGCCATTTCTCGCAGGGTGGCATTCCAAACATTACGTGGAGGATCGGAGCTAAAACCAACCAGGAAGGAGTAGCGAAGTGAGGAAGAAGAGCACCGTTGTCCACGTAGACAACATGTTCTCCCCACCAGCAGCTGCACGAAGAATGCTAATGCCACCACTCTCCCGGCGCTTGCTCCCTCTCATCTTCCTCACCATCACCGTTTTTTTCCTCATCTCCTGTCTTTCCGGACCCCTCGGCCCCCGCAAGCCCACTCCCACCACCACCACATCGTCCACCACTCCGCCCGTCTCGAGTTGGGTGCGCACCCACCCACATGTTTCGGGGTCCGCGAAGCTGCGGCTGGCCTACCTCATTCTCGTGCACTCGCACGACTCCGTGCTCGCCGCGCAGCGCCTGCTGCCCGCCATCTACCACCCGGACTTCTACTACGTCATCGTGGTCGACCAGAACATGGACCACCGCGCCCGGCGCGCACTCGACGATTTCTTATCTTCTCAAAAAGACCACCACAAAAACAACGAAAAAGACAACAACGTGAAAGTGGTGCGGGCCAACGTGCGGTCCGAGTGGGGCTCGCTGGGGCTGGTGCAGAACGAGCTCGACGGGCTGCAGGAGCTGCTGGCCTTCGGGCCGTGGGACTACGCGATCAACCTCTCGGGCGACTCCTACCCGCTGGTGAGCCAGGCCCGCCTGGTGGAGCGGCTGGCCTACTGGCGCGGGGCCAACTTCGTGGTCGACGGCGGCGAGCGGCCGGAGCGGGCCAACGAGGTGCCGGCCTTCAAGGCCGAGCGGCTGGCCGTGGTCAAGAGCTGGCCCACGGGGGTCACCCAGCCCGACCAGTTCGGGTCCCAGGTACTCCTCTCTTTTTCTGGCATGACGTGGCAATTCTGCTTCAGTACACTCACCGCACACGCACAACCGCACACGCACACGCACGACCGCACACGCTGCGACCCTCCAGTGGTTTGTGCTGACGCGCGAGTTCGTCGAGTACGCGCTGACGTCGGCGTTCGCACGCAACGTGCTGGTGGCGATGGCCGCAGACAAGGCGCAGATACCCGACGAGTCGTACTTCCAAGTCGTGCTCATGAACAGTCCCTTCAACATCACCGTGAGCCAGCGAGTACTCTTGTCTTTCTATTCGCGCGGTCGTGTGTGTCGTGGTGTCGTGTGGTGTCGCATGTGTCGTGTCGTGTCGTGTCGTGTCGTGTCGTGTCGTGTCGTGTCGTGTCGTGTCGTGTCGTGTCGTGTCGTGTCGTGTCGTGTGTGTCATGTCGTGTTGTGTGTCGTGACGTGTGCGGTGTAGTGTGACCATTGCATACTTTGGGACTTCACTACTAACGGGCAATGCTTGGCCACTCCGGCCGCGTCAGCCTGCCACCGCCCCGGCTGCTCCCGCCGTCAAGCCAATCTGCCGATACCTCCGATGGCACAGTAAATGCCTTTACTCGGTACACATCGACTCCCTTGCTTCCTGCAGCCCGCGTGTTGTGGTGGTGGTGGCGGCGGTGTTGCTGGTGTTGGTTGTTGTTGTTGTTGGTGGTGGTGGTTGTTGTTGGATGATGGTGTTGACTTTAACCTCACCCAACGCGAATGTGTGTTGTGGTGCGGTACAATCACAGAAGCCGGGAGCACGCCCGCTCCCGTGCTTCTTCGGTCCGAAGGACTTCGAGGCGCTGGTCGAGTCGGACTGCGTCTTCACGCGCAAGATGCACCCCGAGGTGTCGGGAGACCTCTACGCCATGCTCGACCAACATATTAGCACCCAATAATTATTAAACATTTATTTATTTATGTGAGATATCAATCATAAATAAATACGACAGCAATAACAACAATAATCATGATAATTGGCTGCGTGCCTCAGGGCGAAGCCAGGTGGACGGGGAGGCCGTAGTAGACGGGTGCGCCGGCGTTGAGGTTGGCCAGCTGGCAGGCGCCGCGAGCCAGGGGCAGCACCTCGGGCAGCGACAGCTCGGGCCGCGCGAGCCACGTCTCCATCACCGCCATCGCGAATCGGTTGATGTCACCGTCCGACACGTCCCACATCATCCCCACCACGCCCGCACACCCAGCCACCTGCATTCACACACAAACACGCATCAGAAACCGCACACACCACACACCGCACACGCACACGCACCACCGCACACAAGCAGAGAGCGGATGGGGGATGAGGGTACGAGGTAGCTGAGAGCGGCCGAGGGGCCTTCCCAGAGGGCGGGTCGGGCGGAGGAGCAGCCGACGAGCATGGCCACGCCCGAGGCCTCGATGTCGGCCAGGCCGGCGCGGCCGCCCACGATCTGCTCGCCGCCGTTGTGGCCCATGTAGACGAACAGGTGGGCCTCGCGGATGGCCGCCCGGTGCTCCTCGGCCGACGGCATCCGCCCGACCACGCCCTCCCACCCCTTCTTCCGGAAGAACCCGTGGAACTCGCGCTCCGTCCGCCCCAGGTCGCCCGACGGGTTGAGCACGTACCGCGTGCGCGACAGATTGACCCCAGCCTGTGCGCGGTGTGTGCGGTGTGTGCGGTGAGTGACTGTGTGTGTGGCACACACGATGGGGGCGATAGGGCGTACGTTGAGTACGTCGCGTGGTTGGGCGTCGGCTCGTCGCAGGCGGGCGAGGGCGAGGGCGAGGGAGGGGATGCGGCAGATGGCCTGGTTGGAGGCGCGCACGAAGGGCAGGGCCTCCCAGGGGAGCTCCTCGGCCCAGCCGGCCAGCACCAGCAGGCTCACGTTGCGCCGCGGCTGCCCCTCCTCGGCAGGCTTGCCCTCCTCGTCCTGCCCCTCCGCCTCCAGCGCCTTGTACTCTTCTCGCACCCGCTCCACGAACTGGCGCCCCAGGAAACGATGCGTTACTTGGGCACACGCACGACACGCACGGCACACCGCACGCGCACACACAACACGCATGACACACAGCACGCATGGGGATGGAGATGAACCATTCGGGAGAGCTCGGCGGAGGGTTTGCTGCCGGAGAAGAGATGCTCGAGGCAGCCTTCGAGGTCCTGATCGCTGAGGCTGGGGCTCGCGGCGATGCACGCATGCACCAGAGCCTCGTCCACACACTGCCCCGATTCCTCCTCGATTTCCTGTACCGCGGTGAGCCTCAGTTGGTGTGCTGTGTGTCGTGTGTCGTGTGGTGTGCGGTGTGTCTGGTGTATCTGGTTGGTGTGGTATGTGCGGCGAGTTGTGCGAACCTTGGTCAAACGCTCGGCCGCTTCGAGGCTGGCGGGGTGGAGGTCGCCCTTGAGTTGGCCGAGGAGGAGGCCCTTCCAACAGCCCAGGCACGAGGCCTCGATCTGGGCGAAGAGGGTGGCCATGCGCGCGTCCAGCCCCCGTCGCTGCTTCCACCACTGCCGCTTCTCGTCGTCCGTATAGGTCCGCTTCTGCTCGCCGCGTTCTCGCGTCCCGTTCAGCCCCTGGTCGTTCTCCGCGATGATGCTGCGGTGCTCGCCCAACAGCGCCTCCACACCACCTGCACACCAGGCCCGCACTTGATTACACATGCGACACGACACGACACGACACGACACGGCACGGCACGGCACGGCACGGCACGGCACGGCACGGCACGACACGATGGCCAGGAGGGGCGGCAAACCTTCGTGGGCGATGGGAATGCGCACGGTCGACATGGCTGCGCCGGGTCGCGCGCGGGCCAGGAGGAGGTGCTTGCCGGTGGGGGCCGGTCCCATGAAGACGACGGTCCACCCCTTGGGGAGCAGGGCGTCGATCTGCTTCTGCCAGGAGGGCGCCGAGGCCTGCGGGCTCTTGATCGACGAATCGAGGATGCCGATCTCGTCCGCCACGTCACCGCGGCCACCACAGGAGAGGTCGGCAAAGAGCGAGGCCAGCTCGTCCTCCGCCGTCCGATCCTTGCTTCGTTGTCTGCTGCTGCCGGAGGCGGCGGCGGTCACGGTGGTCTTTTTCTTCGCCGTCTTTACCGGTTTGGCAGCCGCTTCGAGCTCCTTGGCAGCCTCGAGTCGGCTCACCGTCACCCTCTCGTAGGCCCACTGGAGCGTGCCCACGCCAGCCGCGCCGCCTGTTGACGTCGCCACACTTGTCAGGTTCCTCGGCCAAGCGAAGAAAAGAGAAAGGAAAGGAAGGCTCGCGTACTGAGGTAGTAGACGGCGGGCAGGGCGTTGGGTCGGCCGTGCAGGAGGGCGAGCGAGAGGCGCAGGCACGAAGCCAGGTAGGCCGACACGTGCGGACTCGTCGTGGACACCCGGTGGGCTTCGGTCATGCACTGCAGGGCGCGAGCGATCGATGTCGTGCGCTCTACGGGCTGCGCGATTTCATCACCACCACCGATCCGGGTGAGCTCGAACGCTGAGCAAATCGTGCCACACAGAAAATGACACTGGGGGAGTAGCGCTGCAGTACCGCTTCCTTGGCTTTGGCTGCGGTGGTGGTGCTCGCAGTGGCGGTGCCGGCAGCGGTTGGTCGACCCTTGCGTCGGGCCACGCGTTTGGGGCGTGCGGCGGTGAGGCCCATGGCCCACAGGGCGTCGATCTCCTTCTCCGACTCGGCCACACAGGCCAGACCCATCCGGTAGAGCAGCTCGGCCTTGCCCTCGGCCGTCTGCGGGAGGTCGAGCGCCTCCTCAAGCTGCTGCAGGGCCTTGGCGACCTTGCCCGCGTCCAACAGCGCTTGACCTGCCGCCCCCCGAGCGAGCATTCGATGATGAGACACCACCACCACCATCACACACGAAAGCTCGTGTCGTGTCGTGCCATATCGTGTGCGCGCGTGCGGTGAATGGTCGTGTGGTGTCTTACTTACCCTGACGAGACGCGATCTGTGCGATGAGCGGATGGATCTGCAGGCTAACAGCGTCCCGCTCGTCGTCGTCATCGCTTGCGTGGTCGCTGTCGTCTTCCGCCGCTGCTTCCCAGATGATGGCGGGCACGGGGCTGCCGCCATCGGGAGACCAGGCCGGCAGCGCGAGAGCGGACCGGGAGAGGAGGCGCAGGATCCACCGCTTGGCCTCGCCAAAGCAGGCGATGGCCTCCTTCGGGTCGCCCTCGATCAGTCCCAGGTCGCCCTCCAGCACGTGAAGATGCACGCGCAGCCACTCGGCCTCGCGCATCCCCACGCCCTCGTCTTCCTCTTCATTGTCGTCGTCGTCGTTTTCACTCTCCTCCCTGCAATCCATCATCATATCATTGGCCGTCAGCTCATGATCAGCATCAACCGAAAGGAGGCGCAGGTGCGACGTCGTGGGCACGCACTGCAGGAGGAACTGTCGGGCCTGGGCGATGTGGTCGCGCGCGAGGTCGACGCGCCCAGGGAAGGCGTGGAGCCGCCCGAGCATGTGGTGCAGGGCGGCGGACTGGTAGGGCGGCAGGCTGGCGGTGCGGAGCGCGTTCTTGCAGTAGGCCGCTGCCTGGGCGCGCCAGCCGCGGGCCTCCCAGCCCAGCGTGGCAGCTCGCAGCGCTTCGGTGTGCACCTGCGCCAATCGCGAATCGTCAAGTGTCAGTCAACCTTACATTCGTGTGGTGTGTGTGTGTGGTGTGTGTGTGTGTGTGGTGTGTGTGTGTGTCGCACATGAGCCACGGCCCAAACGCTGGAGACCCAGTGCCACTCCTCCCCTTTCCGGCGGTTCCCCGATCTCCGTGTCACCGCGCGGGCCAGAGCGTCGCGCGACAGACGGGCTGCGTCCGCGGCCTCCTGCGCCGACTCCACTGCCCGGCCCTGCACGATATATACCACCAGTTACGCGAGAAACGAATGAAGAGAGGGTGTTGGCCTGTGCGCACCTGGGCAAGGCGAAGAGAAGAGAGCAGCGTCTTGGCCCTGGCCAACAGGGCCAGGTAGTATTTGGCGTTGTGGGTGTCGGACTCGACCTCACCCAGGAGGGCCAGGAGCGTGGCGACGTGGCCCTCTAGCTGCCTGGCCACCTGCAGCTGGGGGTCCGATCCGGCCTCATCCTCCGCCGCATCGGCATCGTATCGCAGCGCCTGAACAAGAAAAATATCGATATCATGTCAGCGCGTCAAGTCGTTGATGATCAAGCTTCGAACGATCTTTTTTTACCTCGAACAAGCAACATTGCACTTCGCACGTCGCTCGAGCAAGACTGGAATGCGACATATGTAAGAATAAGAGAAGTGGGTCAGATCGAAGCCACTCGTGAGTGGGGGCCAGTTGCAACGGTGCACAAAAAGTGGGTGTACGCACTTGTAGGCCGAGGAGAGCGGGGCAGTGGCGTTACTGCCCTTGGCGGAGGAGGAGGACTTCTTCGGCTGCTTGCTGGAGGAGGGACGCGACGGGACAGTGTGCGGCATCCCCAGCTTGGCGTAGATGGCCGCCATTTCCCACAGTATGACCTCGCGGTTGATCACTGTACGTGCGTGTCATGTGTTGCGTAAGAGAGATCACAACTGCGAGAGTTGCATAAATGACTACAAACAAAACACAAAACCTACCGTTTGTGGCGTGCACGCCGTCAAAGGCAAGCAGGACCCGCAGGCCGACCAGCGCGTGGTCGAGCCTCCCGCAGAGCTGCAGGTAGTCCACCATCGTGTCTGTGCAGCAGCAAAGTAAGAGGGAAGAGAGATGTGTGTCAGTCCGTCTCAAGCTCTGGACGAGTGGGTGCAGGGGGGTAGCGAGCGTACGAAGCACGAGCCGCGTGCGCGAGGGATCGGGGAAGGAGTCGGGGCGCATGTTCTCGGCGTGTTCCTCAAACAGTCGCTTCCACTGCAACAGGGCCTTCGCCATGTGCGCGATCGCGCTCGAAGACTCGCCCGCCTGAGCGTACACCAGACCCAGCTCGGCGTGCACTTGCGCGAGCAGATGCGCGGCCTCGTATACAAACTCTTGGTCCTTGCCCCACGCCTGTGTGTGTGTGTGTGTGTGTGTTACGAACTATCACTTCGCGACCGTGCGAGAGCTTAAGCGAACGAAGAGAGATGTACGCTGGCTTGTAGCAGCTTTGCAGCTTCCGTGTAACGCTTGACGGCGGCCGAAGACGAAGACGAGAAAGAGACGTTGGATGTTGTGGTGGAGCAGTCCCCCTCCCGCTCCTCCTCCTCGCCGGCGACGATGTTGCTCTCGTCGTCGCTATCGCTGCCGCCGTTGATCGTCTCCGACGCCTCCTCCTCCGTGCTACCGTGCGCTTTGAGCAGACGGGCTTCTTCCACCAACGCCCTGCAAGTGCGAGTGGCGAAGAAGAAGAAGAAGTGAATTAGAAAGTTTGCTGCTGTGCGCTTGGCGCGCGTGCGATTGAACGCGTACCTGGCTCGACGATAGGGGTAGGAGCGGGCCGGCAGAACGGCAAGGCTGTCGGCGATGACGGAGAGGAGGTGAGCGGCCGCGCTGCGGCCACGCGAGGCGTTGAGCTCCTCGAACAGCAGGTCCGCGATCTTGCCGTCGGGAAGCGAAGCCTCGCGCAGCGACTCGAGCAGACTCGGGATGGCGTCTTTCTTCTCTCCATCTTTGCTACTACTACTACTGCTGCTGTTGCTGCCGCGCGCTCTCTTGTTGCTCTTCATGTTGGTGGTGGCTCGCTTGTCTTCACTGGTCTCCTGTTGTTGAGCCCAGTTGTGCTTGAACCGCGCCAGCAGTTGGAAGAGCTGTGAAGAGTCTCCCGCAGATCCACCGCACAGAGCCGCAAAGGCGATGGCCTTGTGGACCGCGACCAGCCCCTTGTGCGGCTCCACCGACTGGTCGCCAGAGTTGTGGTAGCAGAGGGCCAGCAGGCGGTACTTCTTGGCCGCGAGCTCAAGCTGCTTCTGGCTCTGCTCCGCGGGCTCGCCACAGAGGTCAAGGAATCGAATGGTGGCCTCGTAACTATAGAGAAGTCGCAGTCAGTCATGAGTGGGTCAGATGGTGATGGTGATGGTGATGATGACGAAGCAAGTAATGAAATGTACCTGTTGCGATTGAACAGTTGGGCCGCGATATTGAACAGGGCAGCATTGAGCCACTGCTGACGTGCCTCGGCACCGGACGCAACCTGGGCGGCTTCCTCCATCGCCGAGACTGCCTCGTCCGCCTGTACATGAGTTGGTTACCCACGCATATATACGAGAAAACCCATTAGCATGAGCTCGAAGAATACCCATCACCTATTGTTGCTTTTCCGTACCGTGTCCGGAACAACCTCCAGCAGTAGTCGCGCGGCCAGATCCAATCCGGCCAGCTGCGACGAGCGTAGAGATTCAAAATTCTTGATGGTGATGCCGGCCGGCAGCGTTGCCGGCACAGCGCCCTATTGTGGGGAGAAAGAAGATGACCGAACGATCAGGGGCCAAAATGAAAGGAAGAGCGAAACAAGCAAATAGACGCGGTGGTTGGTTCGTACGTTTGCGTCCAACTCGCTGCCCTGGCTCGCGCAACGGGACAGCATGCGCATCGCGAGCGCGAGCTGCTTGATCACCTCTGTTCCATCGCTCGACTTTCGCAGATAGGCGAACAGCGACGCCGCAGGAGGTGTGACGTGATCGGACAGATATTTGCGCAATTCGTGCAGCGCCTCGCCTAGCCTCAACTGCAGTCCATAGACCAGCTTGGCCTGCACCCACACGTGGCGCGGCTCGTCAGACCTCACCTCATTGACCACACAGGCTATACGGGAGGAGAAAGGGTACCTGATCCGTGTCGACCGGAAGCTCGTCCAATGCCGAGCCAGCCGATTCCAGGGCGACTGCCAAGCATTCCTTGATCTTGAGCGTCAACTTGAGGCCTGCACCGAGGTGTGTGAGGTGAGTCAGATCGCAAACCCATCGACACACCCATTGTGGCGAGATTTGTCGACGCATACCTTGCGTTCGCATGAGGCGAAGGCCGAGCAAAGCGAGCTGGACGTGCGCCAGAGAACGGTAGTATGGCGTGAGCAGGTCTTCGTCGTCGAGATCAGACAATATGGGCTTGGCGCGTCCGTCCAGCAGCTCCCACGCGTCCTGGCAGTGCTCCGCTATGTTCTGCACATAAGAACGATCAAATCCAACGATAAGTATTGGAGTGGCGCTCGCCGTTTGCACAAAGCGGCAAAGCAACCTGTACCTGAAGAAGCGAGGCCGAGTAGAGCAGCCAGTCAAGCTGGCCAAACTGATCCGACGCCTTGCTGCTGCCCCATAGTTTCGTTACCTCCTTGCAAAAGGCGACCACGCTCGGTGTGACCACCACCTTGCCGCTGCTGTTATGATGACGTCAAAGAGAGCAATTGCTAGTGATGTCAACACACATGCCACGTGTCGAAGAGAACGCAAGGAGGCTGAACGCACTGTCGTGTCGCTCTCATGGCCGCCTTGATAGCCATTTGAAAATACTCGCTGGTGTTCTTCTCCTTTTCGACGAGAAGAAGGTCGACGGTGCGTCGCCGCAGCTGCAGCGCTTTCGCTCCGTCGGCGTTGAAGGCCGGGTGGCGAGCTACGAAGTCGGCCGACTCAACGACGGCCGCTGCCTGGCGTAGGGCATAGCAGATGACCTCCAAGTACTTACGGGCTTTGTCCGCCTTGTGCTTGAGCAGGTGCACCAGCCACAACTTCACCTGCCCGCTGATTTCATCCAGTTCCTGAAGCAAGATGGAGCGATGAGGGGGAGACAAAAAAACATCAAAAATCACCTCCACATCGAACCTTGAACATCGGCCCAGGAGTGGAAGACAGCAAATTGGTGCAGCAGCTCATCGCTCCATGCATGGTGGCAACGACGAGCGTAGCAATCTCTGGTGAATCACCCTCAAGGGGCGACAGGCAGAGAAAGGAGAGCACGTCTTGGTTCTCCTTGTCCATGGCTCCCTTCACTTTCGATTTCGCACGCTGCGCCTTGACGAGGCAAGGTACCATCTGCTTGCCTTGCGCCAACGCATTTGAGTACTGCGGAGGGCAAATTTAGTATGAAGATTTGTGCATAAATTGAAGTAAAAGTGCGTACGTTCTTTTTCCCTATGAGGGCAACGAGCTTTTGATGCTCGGCATAGACGTCCCCCATTTCCGTCTTCGATCAATTCATGCACCTACACAAACAACGCAGATCGGGCGCGAAGTTTTGGCGCGAAAGGCAGCAAGGAAACTAAAAGGAAACTACCACGAAAATGAGGGGAAACTTAGCAAGAAATGAAACTGAATTATTTCCACTAATTGTTGGCGAATGGCAAAGCCAAGTTTTGGCGCGAAAGCCAGACTGGCGCGAAAAAATTGAGACAGCAGAAGAGGACGGTTGGCGAGAGGACGCAGCCGCTACCAGATTCAATTAATTGGACTACATTACATATTCAGCGCTCGCGAGTAAATCATGAGCGACGAAGGTGTCTCACAGGTGACAAAGTCGCAAGCCGATCGGCAATTCCCCAAGCAATTCGTGGATAAGAAATACATCACTGCCAGCCAGCTAAAGAAAGATGACCTCATTAGCCGTCTACAGGTAACGCGGCCATAACCACAGCACTGCACAGGTTTAGGCTGCTTACAATTTTAATTTAATTGCAGAAATTGCACAAGTTCCTGAAGAAGGTGGGAGATGCGCCAGACTGGGGGAAAGAGATGCTTGACGATATTGCTGCGGCCCTCATTCAAAAGGATAGGCTGCAGCACAAGAGCGAGGACGTGAGGCTCCTCGTGGCCTGCGCCTTAGCCGACATTATTCGAATCTACGCCCCCGAAGCCCCCTACGACGATGAAGCGCTCAAGGCACAACTCTCTCTCTTGTTTCTCTTTTATTAAGAATCAATTAAAAATAATTAATCAATTAAATCCATTACAGGGCATATTCGATCTGTTCATAAACCAACTGGCCGCGCTGGGCTCGACAGACGATCCCTCGTACTCGCTCCGATTCTATCTGTTGGAGCGACTGCAGAGTGTGCGCGCCTTCGCCCTTCTGATCGACCTCGACGATCAGCTCTACATGCGCCTCTATGACACCTTCTTCGAGGTCATGTCGTACGTTTCCGGCCTACACTGGCGTGTGCACACGTGGCCGACCGACCGACCGACTGACCACACTCTCTTGCATACTCTGGCTACACACGCACACGCAGTGAACACACGAGTGTGGAAGTGGTCAATCACTTCCTCGACATCATGTCCAGCTGTCTCGAGGAGTCAGAGGAAATCAGCCTGGAGCTCCTGGAGAAAATCCTGGCCCATCTCTTGCCCGAACAAAAGGTGCTTTTTTATTCATTCTATTATTTTTTATTTTATTCTGATTATTATTTAAGTGTCTCGTGTTGACCGTTGGTGTGTGGCGCTGTTCGTTTTCCCGCAGGAGTCGCATCCGCACGCCTTTCGGCTGGCGCAGGCGCTCATCAAGGGCAATGCGCAGCTGCTGGAGACTCCCATCACCGAGTTCATGAGCGACATTCTCGTCAACGTCAAGGCATCAACCAGCGAGCTCAAGGACCACGGCCACGCGCTCATCTGGGAGCTCAACAAGATCTCGCCCAACCTGCTGCTCTACGTCATGCCCGAGCTCGAGAAGGAGCTCACCGTCGAGGACGAGGAGAAGCGCGAGGACACCGTGGCCCTGCTGGGCAAGATGTTTGCCTCCGATGGGTCGCGCATGATCACCAGCTACCCGCAGCTGTTCAACACATTCCTCAAGCGCTTCAACGACGTGGAGCCGTCGATCCGCCGCCGCATGGTCGAGTACGCGACCGAGTTCATCCAGAACCTGCCCTCGCTCGACCTCGCCGACAACCTCTTCACCCGCGTGCGCGACACCGACGAGGGCGTCCGCGCCGCCGCGGTCAAGGCCATCTGCGCGGCGGCCAGCGCCAACCCCATTCGATTCAAGAAGGACGTCCTCCAGGAGGTGGGCATGCGCATGCGCGACAAGAAGGTATGGCGTGCCTTCAACACAACACACAACCCACAACGCACAACGCACGCCACCAGTCTGATCAATGGAGCTCCACATTGATAACCCTTTTCTTTTTTCTTCTCTTTTTTCTCGCTGTTTCTTTCCTTTGCTTTGGTCGGTGGCACGCCACAGCCCGGCATCCGCAAGCAGGCGATGGTGCGGCTGGCGCAGCTCTACCGGAACTTGTGGAACAGGACGTGGAGCGACGACGACATGAAGAAGCTGGAGCGGGCCTATGGCTGGATTCCCACCAAGATCCTGCACCTCTACTTCCAAACCGACATCGAGATCAAGTACGCTACGTGTCCAACTGCGATTCCTCTCCGGTGTGTGCGTCGTTTCTGTTCCTCCTCGCTAACACGTCGTCACACGCACACAAACGCACACGCCACAGAGCGGACGTGGACGAAGTGGTGTCGTGGGAGCTGCTGTCGCGCGACAAGAGCGTGAAGGTGCGCACCACAGAGCTGCTGGAGATGCTGCCCTCCTTCGACGCCAACGCGCACCAGGCCCTGGCCCGCCTGCTCAAGGACAAGCGAGAGTACGATCCAATTATTGCGCTTCGCAAACTTGCGTCAACATCGGCAAAAGCTGACCGTGTGTGTGTGTGTGGTGTGTGTGTGTGTGTGGTGTGTGGGTCTTCACAGATTCCAGCAGGAGTTCACCAAGTACTTGCAAGTGCGCAAGGGCGACGCGGGCGCGAAGGACAAGCACGAAAAGGTTGGCCCCGCGGTGACGGAGTGCTTCCGCGTGTTCCAGCAGTACGTCCCGGGCGCCACTACGCGCCTGCAGGCCCTCCACGCGACCAAGCACAAGGAGCTGTGGAGTGCCCTGCGACAGCTGGTCGACGAGGAGGCCGACTTCAAGTCTGTCAAGGAGGCCGTCACGTCGCTCGAGGCCCAGTCCAAGCAGAAGGGCAAGTCCAAGTCGTCGACGGCCGCCAAGGCCAAGGCGTCGTCGCCCGCCGCCGGCGCCGCGGACGTGCTGCGTGCCATCACCTACCGCCTGTCGATGGGCATCGTGTCGCGCCAGGCCGTGCCGCTGCTGCTCACGTCGCTGCGCAAGTACCTGGCCGACCACAACAAGGACTACTCGGCCCTGCTGGCCTTCCTGCACGAGGTGTCGGCCTCGTACCCGGGCTTCTTTGCCGACGCCACGGACCAGCTGTCGTCGCTGCTCAACGAGGACGACGCCGCCACGATCGACGTCGCGCTCCGCATGCTGGCCCACGTGGGCAAGCACGGCCTCAATTGGCCGAAGGACCTGCGCCGCCGCCTGGCCGAGCTGTGCACCCGGGGCACCCCGCAGCAGTCCAAGCACGCCGTGCGCGCCCTCCACTGCCTCTACCCGGACGCCGCGTCGGCGCAGAAGGCCGGCGGCGGCTTCCTGGCCAAGCTGGCCAAGTCCCTGGTCGACGACCACCTCGAGCTGGGCAAGCGCGAGTGCGGCCCGGCCCTGGCGGCCCTCGCCCACATCGCCAAGGTCGCGCCGGCCACGCTGGCCGCGCTCGCGCCGTCGTTCCTGCCGTGGGTCACCGGCGACCTACTCACCGCCGCGCCCCCGCAGCGCCGCAAGAACAAAGACACCGGCGACGCCTCGCACCAGGCACGCCTCAAGGCCCTCGGCCTCCGGCTGCTGGCCAACTACACCCTGGCCCACCACGAGGGCAAGGAGGGCGCCACGCAGGCCCGCGAGATCGTGCGCCTCGTGCTCGAGACCCTGCGCAACAGCGAGCCCGAGCGTGAGACCGATGACGACGTCGACGACGACGCTGAAGCCGACAAGCAGGCCCAGCAGCAGCAGCAGCAGTCGTACAAGCCCGACGCCGACCGCGAGCTGTTGCGCAAGCACGCCGTGGGGGCCATCCTGCGCCTGGCCCAGGTGCGCGAGATCGAGGCCCTGCTCGAGGTGGAGGACTTCCACCTGGTGGCCCACACCGTGCGCGACCCGGCCAGCGAGGTGCGCGAGTACATCATCAAGAAGCTGTGGGCCGGGGTCAAGCACCCGACCCGCCTGGGCCTCAAGTGGGTCGCCATGCTGGGCCTGGCCGCGCTCGAGTCGGACAAGAAGCGGATCCAGCGGGTGCGGGCCTTCCTGGCCAACGCCATCCGCGTGCGGCGGCAGGCCGTGGGCCTGGTGCGGCAGGAGGACGGCCGCGCGCTGTTCTCGATCCTGCCCGAGTACGCCCTGCCCTACCTGATCCACCTCCTCGCCCACCGCCGCGACTGGGACGCCGACGTCGCCAACAAGTTCCACGACTCCTCTCGGTACGTTGTCCCTTGTGTGTGTCTTGTGTGTGTCTTGTGTGTGTCTTGTGTGTATCTTGTGTGTCGTGTGTCGTGTGTGCTCATGTCGGTTTGCCTGCACAGAGTCCTGATCTTCTTCCTGGAGCCGATCATCACGCACGGCGATAACTTCACGTTCCTGGTGGAGCTGCTCAAGTTCATCAAGCAGACTAAAGACGGCATCGAGCCCGGGCAGGAGGAGCGCATGCGCATCCTGTGCGACATCGGCGCGCTGTACATCAAGCAGCGCGGCGCCAAGGCCACCGGCCGCTGGCTCAACCAGAAGCGCCACCCGGGCGACCTATACCTGCCGCCCAAGTTCTTCCAGCTCTCCGAGCACCTGACCGAGCGCTCCATCCAGGACCTGGAGAAGAGCTACCTCCCGCTCGACTTTAGCCTCCCGTCCGGCCGCTCCAACCTCATCTATACCGAGAAGACCCCCGCCAGGACCACCGTGCCCGTCTCCCCCAAGAAGACCCCCGCCGCCAAGGTACACGACCGCACACGACCGCACACGCACCACCGCACACAACACAACACTCATGCGCCGCACGCACACACACACGCTGTAGACGCCGAAGCGCAAGCGAGCGGACAAGGGCGATGAATTGGACTTTGACGAAGAGGAGGAGGAGCAAGCGGGCAAGGGCAGCAAGAAGAAGGGCAAGGCCACTCCTAAGGGCAAGGGCAAGACCACGACGACGCCGTCGTCGGCGAAGGGCAAGGGCAAGGGCAAGACCCCGACGAGCGCGGCCAAGCGCCGCCGCACGGCTAAGGACGAGAGCGACCAAGAGGAGGAAGAGGAGGAGGAGGCCGAGGAGATGGACGCGGAGGAGCCGAAGAAAGCGGCCAAGGCGCGCGCGGCCAAGCGGAAGAGATCGACGACGCCCACCACGAAGAAGGGGAAGCAGAAGAAGGCGAGCGAAGATGAAGAAGAAGAGGTGGAAGAAGAGGAGGAGGGATCGCCTGCCAAGAAGCGCAAGACGGCAGCAGCGACCAAGAAGGGAAGAACGAGCGCGCCCGCCACGAAGGGGAACAAGAAGACGAAGAAGACGAAGAAGAGCGATGATGAAGAGGAGGAGGAGGAGGAGGCCACCACCAAGTCACGAGGAAGCAAGGGCAAGACGGCATCTTCTTCATCATCTTCGAGGAAATCGACCACGACCAAGGGAAAGAAGAACAAGAGCGACGAGAGCGATGAACCTGAAGAGAAGGAGGAGCAGGAGCAGGAGGAGGAGCAAGAGGAGCTGCCCGTCACCCACAAGGCCACGCGCAGGGGAAGAGGAGGCCGGAGGTGATGAGGCTGACCGTGCCAACGTTAGCAGCTGTTTGCTGGCCGTTCTGAAGCGAAGCCTTGCCAACAAAACGTGGCCCTTTGTTTTCCTGTTTGGTTCTTTCCGTTGTGTTGCCTCCGTACAGAGTGGGTTCGCCGCCCAGAGGAAAGGCGCCGTGCATCAGCGCGGTGAGCATTGCCAGTGGCGAGTTTGCGGCCAGGCTGGCGCTGCTGTGCCCAGAAGCGCTGAATCTTGTCTGGCAGCTGACGCGCAAGGACCCCAACCTGCGGCTGTCTGCTCGTGCTGCCCTCTGCCATCCTGCTCTTGGCTGACCAACCCACCCAATGTAGCCACATTAAGGCGGCTTCCGCCAGTTGAGTAATGGTTCGTCATCAGTCGACAAGAAATAGCTTTGCGATTTCCTTTGGTTTCTTTCTCTTTGTTGCCACAAAAAGATGGATCGACTTTGCTTCTGCTCCTGTGGTCGATGGATGTCTGCAGCGCAATTCAAACAACATGTTGGAGGTTGCCCGCTTCCAACGCCAGAGCTGCTAGTCCTCTCGCCCTCACCCCAGCCGTCAACCTCAACCTGGCCCATCTTCTCACCATCACCGTCGCCCTCGCCCTCGA